TAGCTGAGGGTTGACCTGTCGGGTCCCTGGGGCTGTCTGAGCTTGGGGGTTTTCTCGCAGACGTTTCATGGCCCAGCTAGGGAACATCATCAGTGTTATACTACAGTATTTTTCAAACTTGGCCACTTTAACATGGGTGCATTTTAATTCCCAAAATTCTGGGAAGTGAATAACCACAATTTCTTCTCCTCCTCCTCCTCCCCTCCTCCTCCTACTTCTACTTCTTTTTCCTCCTCCTCCTACTTTCTCCTCCTCCTCCTCCTCTCCCTCCTCCCTCCTCCCACTTCTTCCACTTCCCTCTTCTCCTCTTCCCTCTTCTACTACTTTCTCCTCCTCCTCTCCTCCTTCTCCCTCTTCTACTACTTCTTTCCCCTCCTCCTCCTCCTCTCCCGCCTCCCACTTCTACTTCCTTCTTCTCTTCCTCCTTCCTCCTCCCTCTTCTATTTCTTTCTCCTCCTCCTCCTCTCCCTCCTCCCTCCTCCCAGTTCTTCTACTTCCCTCTTCTCCTCCTCCTCCCTCTTCTACTTCCTTCTTTCTCCTCCTCTCCTACTACTTCTTTCCCCTCCTCCTCCTCCTCTCCCTCCTCCCACTTCTACTTCCTTCTTTTCTTCCTCCTCCCTCTTCTACTTCTTTCTCCTCCTCTGTAAGGACCCACCCCACTTTGCATCTTAAGAAGACAGAACTCTTGGAATAGTTCTTCCAACAGGAATCCTTTATTAAGAGAAAATGGTTGCAGGCATGCTAGACAGGACTTGGGGTCCAAGCTCTCCCATTCAAGGTTTTAAGGGGTTCCCCAGTAGTCCCACCCAATCAACCCCCCTTCCAGTGATAGTTTCAAGTATCACAATTCCACCTCCTTTCTTCTTTCTTCCGTCTGGATGGAGACTTCAGATACTACATGAAAGGCAATTACCCTTCTTTGATATGTTAACGCTTAGAGGTTACAATAAACACACATTCAGCTCTTTGAAGTGTAAAGAAGGAAGTGAGGGCCATAAAGCCCCTTTGCTCTCCCCCTTCTCTCCCTCTTATGGCAGAATCCAGAGAAGGCAGAATTGGGAGTTTCTATATTTGATAATTTAAAGATGAAATATAATTGGATTCTGACATCCGGCCCCTCTTAACAATAAGAGAGATCCACCTGAAAGAAAACGCAAGTAAAAATTTTAGTTAGGCTTGTTAGGATACTCTGTGTGAAACTTCTTCAATAGCTTCGGGGCTCTGACATGACGTTTATGGACCCACTCATTTTGTGAGGGAGGGAGGTGTTTCCAGGCAACTAGGTACTGAGTTGCTCCATGATATCTCCTAGAGTCAAGGACTTCCTTTATTTCGAAGTGTTGTTCACCCTCCACCATGATTGGAGGTGGTGGGGGGGGGATTTTTGGCCGTAGAGGTGACTGATGCTCTCTTTTCAGCAAGCTGCAATGAAAAATTGGGTGTATTTGCCTGAGATTTTTGGATAACTCTAATTCTACTGTTACTGGATTTATGATTCTTTTAATTGGAAAAGGTCCTATGTATTTTGGTCCAAGTTTTTTACAGGGCTGTAGGGACTTTAGGTATTTTGTAGATAAGTACACCATCTCTCCTATAATGAATGGTGTAGGCTCAACCCTTTTTTTATCGGCTTGTGTTTTGTAAGCCTGCCTAGCTTCATCTAGTGCTTTTCTGACTATTGGCCAGGTGTTTTGTAATTTTTCCATCCATTCTTTCAGCGAGGGGATCGTTGGTTCGTTTGGGGTTAATTCTGGCATGGGGTTGAAACTTTGACCGGTGGCTATTTGAAAAGGAGTGTAACCTGTGCTGGAGTGGACTGCATTATTGTAGGCAACTTCTGCAAAGGGGAGTAAGTCCGCCCACTCGGTCTGCTGGAAACTAAGAAAACATCTTAAATATTGCTTAAGTACTGAGTTCATTTTTTCAGCCCCCCCATTTCCTTGAGGGTGGTGGCTAGATGTCAGTCCCTGAGTGGTTCCTAAGAGGGATAAAAATTCCTTCCAAAATGCAGACGTAAATTGCACCCCCCTGTCAGAGATGATGCGTTGGGGTGCCCCATGCAATCTGTAAATGTGTTGGATGAAAAGTTTTGCTAAGGCTTTTGCAGTGGGAATCTTTTGGCAAGGGATAAAGTGCACCTGTTTGGAAAACAAGTCCGTGACCGTCCAGACCACAGTATTCCCATTGCTTTCTGGCAATTCCACTATAAAATCCATGGCTATTTCTCTCCAGGGGGCTGAGGGACTTGCCACTGTTTGCAATAGTCCTGGCACTTTCCCTTGCAACCTCTTTGCCGTGGCACATTTTGGACAACTGGCTATATAACTTTCAATGTCCTTTTTCATGGATGGCCACCAAAATTGCCGTTTAATTAAATGTAAAGTTTTTACAAATCCAAAATGCCCTGCTGATTTTGTGTCATGGCAAAGGTGCATGAAAGTTACTCTTTGAGTTGTTGGTATATATAACTTTTCCCCTATCCAAGGCAACCCGTCTTTCATTGTGCACACATTTTTGTTTTTCTGGAACCAATCATCTGTTTCCAAACTTTTTCTGAATTCAATTCCAGTTTGGCTGTCCAGTTGTGGTTTTAATTTGGCTTGGGTTCTTGTGGTTACTGGTGCTGCCAGTTGTGACTCTGCCATTATTGGTCTAGAGTCTGTGGTTCGTGCGCTGTTATATTGGGGCATGCGAGATAGTGCATCTGCCAGGAAGTTCTTTCTTCCTGGTAAATGTTTGAGCTTAAATTGGAATTGGTGAAAATGCTGGGACCAGCGGGCTTGTTTGGGATTGAGTTTCCTGGAAGTTTTCAGGGCTTCCAAATTTTTGTGATCAGTCCACACCTGGAAGGGGATTTTGTTGCCTTCCAGGAACTGTCGCCATGTGAGTAATGCCCAACGTATCCCATAAGCCTCCTTCTCCCATACAGGCCAGCGCTGTTCTGTTTCCGTGAGTTTCTTGGATGTATATGCACAGGGTTGCAATACTGCATCATCATTTTCTTGTAATAGCACAGCCCCCACTGCCACATCACTTGCATCTGCCTGTATTATGAAGGGCTTTGTCCATGTCTGGGTGCCTTAGTACTGGTTCGGCAGAAAAAAGTCTCTTTAGTCTCTCAAACGCTGCTTGGCACTCCATTGTCCATGTTAGTGGCTGGCTAGGTTTTACTGAGGATGTTCCCTTCGTTTTTAGTAAGTTAGTGAGGGGCAAGGCTATCTGTGCAAATGAGGGGATGAATTGGCGGTAAAAATTTGCAAAGCCCAGGAAACTTTGTAGTTGCTTTCTTGTGCGGGTGGTGCCCATTCTAATACTGCTCTGACCTTCTCTGGGTCCATTTCAATGCCCTGTGGGGATATGCGATAGCCTAGGTAGTCTATCCTTTCCTGGTGGAATTCGCATTTTGAGAGTTTGGCATATAGGTGAGCGGCTCGCAGCTTCTTTAAAACCGCTCTGACAAGTTTGACGTGTTCTTCTTTTGTTTCGGTAAAGATAAGAATGTCGTCCAAGTAAACAAGGACCCCCTTAAACAGGTGCTCCCTTAGAACGTCATTGATTAGTTGCATAAAGACTGCAGGGCCCCCTTGTAATCCAAATGGCAAGACTTTGAATTGATAGCACCCCATGGGGCAGTTAAATGCAGTCTTCCATTCGTCCCCTTCCTTGATTCTCACTCGATAGTAAGCTTCCCTTAAGTCTAGTTTAGAAAAAATTTTCCCTTTCGATAGGTGTGACAGCATGTCTTTCATGAGGGGCAGCGGGTATAGGTTGCTTTCACTGATTGTATTCAGGGCCCTATAATCCACGCATAAACGTAAAGAGCCATCCTTCTTCTCTCTAAAAAGGACCGGGGCAGCCACTTTAGGCTTGGCTGGCTCAATGAAACCTCTCTCCAGGTTTTTTTTTATAAATCTTTCCATTTCCTCCTTCTCCTTTGGGCTCATGGAGTATAATCTGGGCTTCGGGAGTTTTGCCCCAGGCTTGAATTCAATGGTACAGTCTGTGGGTCGGTGGGGGGGAAGCTCATTCGCCCTCTCCTCACTGAAGACTTCAGCAAGGTCCCTATATTCCTCTGGTATTTCTGTTAATCTTTTTTCCTCTCCTATGGATGCTTTTTCTATTCTTGATTCTGGTAGCCTCTCTTGGGGTTTTAAGTCCATAGGGTCCCCCTTCGGGAATTTGATTTCTGTCGTCCTCCAATTTACCCAGGGGTTCCATTTTTTCAACCATTCCATCCCTAGAATCATTGGGCATTCCATACCTGGGGTCACCACAAACGTTAAGTCCTCTTCATGGTTGCCCAGGGAGAGGTGTATTGGCAGAGTGGCTAGGGTAGCTGGCACCCCCCCTGCTATGGATCCATCTAGCTGGCCAAATGAGATTGGTTGTTCCAGTCTCCTGGATGGGATGCCCAGATTCCCCACTAGTGTTGGGCTAATGAGGCAGCGGGTGCAGCCAGAGTCTATTAAGGCTTTCACCTTCACAGCTTCGGGCATGGGGGGGATTAATATAGTCACTGTTTTGAAGATGGGTGTGATGCGTCCACTTACCAGGGGTTCGCCTTCCGAGCTGTCATCTGAGGCATCCACCGTCCCTGTGGTGTAGGCTGGAGTTCTTTCCCCTTGGTGAGCAGAGGTGGGGGTTTCTGCAATTTCCATCATTTTCATGGCTGTTTCTTTTGGCTTAGCTGAATACCCTCTGGGTTTGTTGATTGGGGATCTGTCTGGGTTGTGCTGGGGGGCCTTTGAGCGGCATTCTACAGCTCGATGCCCTTCTCTTCCGCACTTGAAACACCCCATCTGCTTCTTGGCTGTATCCGATGATTTCACCGGTTGGTGTGTCAGCTCAGGCGGGGGGCGGCTCCATTGTTTTCCTCGGCGATGCCTCTTCAATATGTCGATCTCTGCTTCCTCTGCCAAGACGTACCATTCCTCAAGTCGATGTGGGTCTCCTCGGGGCAGGCAAGCATCATATAGATCATAGTTTAGTCCGTCTTTGAAACGGCCAAGGAGGATGTCTTCTGGCCAATTCAGTTTGCTGGCAATGGCTCGGAATTCTTGTGTATACTCAGCCACTGGGCGTTTGCCCTGCCTCATCGTTGTTATTCTTTCACGGGCTTTGCGATCAGCCAGGGGGTCTTCAAATCGTCTTCTCAACGAGGACATGAAACGGTTGAAGTTACTGAGTTCTGGGGCATTGGAGTCATGCAGGTTCACCACCCAATCTGCAGCTGGTCCATCCAGGGCAGATTGCACGATCCGGATGCGGGCTTTGTCGCTGGGGATGTCCTGCCCATATTCCTCCATGTAGCTGAGGACTTGGGTTAGGAAAAACCCCAAGCGTGTTGGCTCCCCTTTGAATTTCACCTCCAACGGTGGACGTCTTGGAATGGATCGGTGCCTCCATTGTGGGTGGTAGTGTCTTCCGTCCAGATTTCCATCTGTGGTCCGGTAGGGGGTGGGAGCTCCTGGATCAGTAAATGTCCCTGGGGTTGCAGGTTCCACGTCCCCCTCGGTGTCTCTCCCTTTGTGGCTCCAGGAACTGGGGCGGGCGTAGGGCTCAGGAATCTCCTCTCCTAGGGAGCTGAGAGTTCTCTTCATCAGGTCAATAGCTCTCTCTAGGATCCAGTCTGAGTACGGCATACAGCTTCCTCCCTCTTCACTTGCGTGCAGGGATTTCTCCATCTCCTGCTTCCATTCTGGTTGCTTGGTCCCTCGTCTCAGGGTCACTTTTCTTGATTCCTTTCCCCACTCGCTTTTCTTTCCAACGCCCATCGACCAGCGAGGCTTGTGGTCCTGTGTCTCCACCACTTCTTCTTCTGAGAAATCTGGCCTCTCGGATCCCAACATCTGGCAAGGTTCCAACTGGGTCAGCGGCTCTCTTTCCAGGGAGTTTTCTCCCTCTCTTGCTTCGTTGTCTGACATGGTAAATTTTTGCAAAATCCCCCGGCAAGGGTCTACCTTCCAGGTGGATTAATTTTGCAAGTCCTGTCTAATGTAAGGACCCACCCCACTTTGCATCTTAAGAAGACAGAACTCTTGGAATAGTTCTTCCAACAGGAATCCTTTATTAAGAGAAAATGGTTGCAGGCATGCTAGACAGGACTTGGGGTCCAAGCTCTCCCATTCAAGGTTTTAAGGGGTTCCCCAGTAGTCCCACCCAATCAACCCCCCTTCCAGTGATAGTTTCAAGTATCACAATTCCACCTCCTTTCTTCTTTCTTCCGTCTGGATGGAGACTTCAGATACTACATGAAAGGCAATTACCCTTCTTTGATATGTTAACGCTTAGAGGTTACAATAAACACACATTCAGCTCTTTGAAGTGTAAAGAAGGAAGTGAGGGCCATAAAGCCCCTTTGCTCTCCCCCTTCTCTCCCTCTTATGGCAGAATCCAGAGAAGGCAGAATTGGGAGTTTCTATATTTGATAATTTAAAGATGAAATATAATTGGATTCTGACATCCTCCTTCTCCCTCCTCCCACTTCTACTTCCCTCTTCTCCTCCTCCTCCCTCTTCTACTTCTTTCTCCTCCTCCTTCTCTCTCCTCCCACTTCTACTTCCCTCTTCTCCTCCTCCTCCCTCTTCTACTTCTTTCTCCTCCTCCCCCCTCCTCCCTGTAAAATCCCAATCCCTTCTAGCACTGATGGGTTGCAGATACTAACTACTTTTGTTCATGTAACATGCTGGTTGGGAAATTCTGGGAGTTGAAGCACATGAGTTTTGAAAAGTTTTCAGGGTTAAGAATGGCGGATCCAAGGTTGCTAACGAGGCTTTGGTGAACGATTAACCCAGCAATGGTGCAACGGTTGAATTCTGGGGAGGTGGGCCATGTTTTGAATTGTAGCACGCTTCCTGTCATTATCCAAATCGAATCAAAGGTGATTTTTTCCTGCTTTTTTTGTGGCAATTTAGGTTTCGGCCTTGCTTTTTACAAATCAAAAACTTTTCATTCTTAATTTAACAGATTCCGTACCAGGGATGCTTTGGATAGATTGGTTCCCTGAAGTGAAAAAATGCTTGCCATCCAAAGGGAACGACTCGATTCAAAGCAAGTAAAAATAATAAAGGCTGGATTTCTTTTAAAAAAAAATCAGCCCCAAATCATAATAGCCAATGTTTTATTCTGGCCTTTCAGTTCATTCCTTGGAAGAAACTCTACTCTCAGTATGTGAAAGCCGTCGACCCAGCCTTGCTGACTGTTCGAATCGTTCTGCAACGGTACAGCTTAACCCAGATGCACCCCCAGTGCATGCTGGGATTTATCCGGTGAGTGGTCTTCACGAGGTCACAGTGACAAATCATCTCCTTGGCTTTAGTTATAATGAGGTATCCTGGTAGGGGCGGTCCTTGAGTGATCACCACAGTTGGGAGCACCCCAAGGCCAGAGACGGAAAAATGGATGGAGAGATTCAAACTAGAACAGTGATTCTCAACCTTTCTAATGCCGTGACCCCATAATACAGTTCCCCATGTTGTGGTGACCCCCAAGTGGGTGTGGCCACCAATAAGAGGGAGTAGGACAGCTAGGGAAAAGGGAAAAAAATGGCGGACAGCATGGTTTGGCGACCCCCGTAAAATGGTCATTCGACCCCAAATGGGGTCCCGACCCACAGGTTGAGAACCACTGAACTAGAAGAAAGGAGAATTTTTCTGACAGTGAGAATGATCAAAAATCAATGGAACAGAAGTTGCCTTCAGAAGTTGTGGGAGCTTCATCCCTGGTGCTTTCAAGAAGAGACTGGATCAGAAATGATCTATTACTAGGTCTCTTCCAACTCTATTCTATTCTATTCTATATTCTATTCTATTCCATATTTTCTATTCTATTCTATTCCATTCCATTCCATTTTATTCCATTCCATATTTTCTATTCTGTTCCATTTTACTCCACTCCATTCTATTCTATTCCATTCCATTCCATTTTATTCCATTCCGTATTTTCTATTCTGTTCCATTTTACTCCACTCCATTCTATTCTATTCCATTCTATTCCATTCCATATTTTCTATTCCATTCCACTTCACTCCACTCTATTCCATTCCATTTCATTCCATATTTTCTATTCTATTCCATTCCATATTTTCTATTCCATTCCACTTCACTCCACTCTATTCCATTCCATTTCATTCCATATTTTCTATTCTATTCCATTCCATTCCACTCCACTCCACTCCTTTCCATTCCATTCTATTCTATTCTATTCTACTCTATATTCTTTTATTTTATTTTATTCTATTCTATATTATACTATTCTATTCTATATTATTCTATTCTATTCTACTCTTCTATTCTGTTGTATTCTATTCTATTCTGTATTTTATTATTCTATCTATTCTGTTCTGTTCTATTCTATTCAGTATTTTATTATTCTATTCTATTTCTATTTATTCCTATTCCTACTTCTATGGTCGTTAAGTAGATCACTGCAGTCGTTAAGGGAACCCTTTGGGTTTTTAAGCAAATCCGGCTTCCCCCATTGAGTTTGCTTGTCGGCAGCAACCGGCAAGGTGGTAGAGGGCAATCCCGGGATTCCTGGGAAGATACAACAACCCGGAACACAAGCTGGTTGCCAGGAGCCCGAATTTTGATCCCGTGACCCTGCGGGTGCTGCAGCAGTTGTAAGTGCGAGGATGGGTCATACGTCTGAGGGCCGTTATCCATCTCAAACTGGGGAATTAGTCTGTATCCACAGGCCTAAGGCCGTCACCTGTCCCTGTTTCTCTTCCCAATCCAGGTGTGCGGCTGCTGTTCGGAGCTGCCACTGCCGAGATCCTACCGCTATCCTCGCGTGTCTGGAACGCCACTCGCTGTTTCCCAAGGCGCAAATCTGCATCGCCAAGAATCTTCCGGATTTGGAGAGTTGCAAAGAGAAAGTATGTCTCGGCAGGCTTAAACACTTATCTGGAATTGATCTTTGGGCGCGTTTCGATGGTGTTTCCCCTGGGAGATGGGCTGTCTTGCTCAGCATTGGGATTGGACGGTCACTGAAAAGGCAATGGATTGCAAGACGAGAGAGTTCTAGCAACCATTCATTTAGCGATCATTTAGTGATTTATATGAATGCCAGGCTTCCAAACACCAAGGACCTCATAGTCCTTCTCCTCCTCCTCCTCTTCCCTGCAAACCCATTTCCTTTTATAATAATAATAATAACAACAACAACAACCTCCTCCTCTTCCTCCATGCAGACCCCACTCCCTTGTAGCACTGATGATGTTCTCTTGTTGGGTAATGAAATGTCTGCAAGAAGACCACCAAGCTCAGAGAGCACCAAGGACTCCACATTCCTTGAATAGTTGCAAATTTGCACCATTTAGTCCTCCTCCTCTTCCTCCTCTGCAAACCCATTTCCTATAATAATAATAATAATAATAATAATAACAACAATAACAACGACGACTCGATAGGTAGACAAAATGCCAAATCCAGTCTGAACATCTGGCTGACTGTGCGATGATCCATAATAATAATAATAATAATAATAATAATAATAATAATAATAATAATAATAATAATAATAATAATAAAGTTGGAAGGGACCTTGGAGGTCATCTAGTCCAACCCCCTGTTCGGGCAGGAAATCCTATACCATTTCAGACAAATGGCTGTTCAGTCTCTTCTTAAAAACCTCCAGTGTTGGAGCATTCACAGCTTCTGGTGGCAAGTAGTTCCACTGGTTAATTGTTCTGACTCTCAGGAAGTTTCTCTTTTGTTCCAGGTTGCTTCTCTCCTTGATTATAATAATAATAAATAAAGTTGGAAGGGACCTTGGAGGTCATCTAGTCCAACCCCCTGCTGAGGCAGGAAACCCGATACCATTTCAGACAAATGGCTGTCCAGTCTCTTCTTAAAAACTTCCAGTGTTGGAGCATTCACCACTTCTGGAGGCAGGTTGTTCCACTGGTTAATTGTCCTCACTGTCAGGAAGTTTCTCCTTAGTTCTAGGTTGCTTCTCTCCTTGATTAGTTTCCATCCGTTGCTTCTTGTCCTGCCTTCAGACGCCTTGGAGAAGAGCTTGACTCCCTCTTCTTTGGGGCAGCCCCTGAGATACTGGAAGACTGCTATCATGTCCCCCCTTATACTTCTCTTCATTGGACTAGACATACCCAATTCCAATTTAGCACTGATGATGTTACCTAGTTGGCTGATGACACTTCTGTAAGAAAACAACAAGGTCAGAGAGCACAAGGGGCCCCACAGTCCTCACCCCCTTCCTCCTCCTCCTCTGTGCAGACCCCACTCCCTTGTAGCACTGATGATGTTCCCTAGTTGGGTGATGAAACGTCTGCAAGGAAACCCACCAAGCTCAGAGAGCACCAAGGACTCCACATTCCTTGAATAGCTGAAAGTTCAGGACGATTTGTACCATTTAACTTGCTCCCCTGCCAGACAGAACAGAAAATACAACCTGTGAGACTCAACAGGTTGCCCCCACCCCGATAATGATCCCAACCATGTTCTTCCAGGCGGCCTATGTTCGGGCAGTGATGGCGGCCATTGTGCTCTTCACTGGAGGTGTTTGCGATATTCAGGAGCTGGTGGGCTGCCTCCAAAGGCTCACCTCTCCCATGTCAGTGATGGACATCAGTGAAATGTTGTACTGCACGGCCACCCTCCTTTACGCCATGCGAGAGAACGGGGTCCAGATCAGCAACAGGTCAGTTTGCAAAGGGTCAGGAGAGACACTTAGGACGGAAACCCGTCCTTTACGGCAGTAGTAAAACTAGAAATACATCTTTGGTAGGGCTGGCCACGTTTTGCAAAAAGTTCAGAATCTAGCATGAGAGACGGTTTGGTCTAGGGCAGCGGTTCTCAACCTGTGGGTCGGGACCCCATTTGGGGTCGAACGACCATTTCACGGGGGTCGCCAAACAACGCAGTCCGCCATTTTCCCCCCCTTTTCCTTAGCTGTGCTACTCCCTTTTATTCTGTTGGCTTTTGGAAGCCAATAGAATAGACTCTCTTGAATAGAGTCTAATTCTATTGGCTTTCCAAAGCCAATAGGAATTGTCCAGGCTGTCTCTGCCCTGCTGAGCCCGCCAAAAGTCCCATTCTGCAAACGGGGCTGCACCAGTTGAGTAGTCCTTGACTTACGACCGGTTGAGTAGTCCTCGACTTACGACCGGTTGGGGGTCGCGGCATTAAAAAGGTTGAGAACCACTGGTCTGGTGGGTAAGGCACTGGCCTAGAAAGCAGGAAACGGTGAGTTCTAGTTCCACCTTAGGAATGAAAACCGGCTGGGTGACTTTCAACCAGTCACCAGGAGAAGGTGAGTTCTAGTCCTGCCTTAGGCTTAAAAGCCAGCTGGGTGACTCTGGGCCAATCACCAGGAGTTGGTGAGTTCTAGTCCCAACTTAGACTAGAAAGCCAGCTGGTTGACTTTGGACCAATCACCAGGAGACAGTGGGTTCTAGTCCCACCTTACGCTTGGAAACCAGCTGGATGAGTTTGGGCCAATCACCAGGAGTTGGTGAGTCCTAGTCCCAACTTAGACTAGAAAGCCAGCTGGTTGACTTTGGGCCAATCACCAGGAGACAGTGAGTTCTAGTTTGGCCTTGGGCACGAAAACCAGCTGGGTGACTTTGGGCCAATCACCAGGAGACGGTGAATTCTAGTCCCACCTTAGGCATGGAAACCAGTTGAGTGACTTTAGGCCAGTCACTGGGAGATGGTGAATTCTAGTCCTACCTTAGGCATGAAAACTGGCTGGGTGACTGTGGGCCAATCAGCCGGAGACAGTGAGTTCTAGTCCCATCTTCACTATGAAAGCTGGCTGGGTGACTTTGGACCACAGGAGATGGTGAGTTCTAGTCCCACCTTAGGATGAAGCCAACTGGGTGACTCTGGACCAGTCACCAGTGGTCAGTGAGTGCTAGACCTGTCTTGAGGCATGAAAGCCATCTGGATGACTTTGGGCTAGTCTCTCTCTCTCTCTCTCTCTCTCTCTCTCTCTCTCTCTCTCTCTCTCTCTCAGCCCAACCCACCTCACAGGGTTGGTGTTGTGGGGAAAGTGAGGAAGATATATTGGGTATATTCGTCCCCTTGAGTTGTGTGTAAAAATAATAAAGGTGGGATGCCAATAAAGAGCTAAAAAGAAAATGCCTCTCCTACTCATTAAAGCAGCGGCAACTTTGCTCAGGCTTTCTCCCACTTCTGCAAAAAAAAGAAGCTGCTGCTTTGAAGAGTTGGTTCATTAAAGCAGGAATTTTTTACTCCCCTCTCTGAATTATTTCCCGGATTCTACCCGATTTAGAGCTTTCTTCGACGTTCATTTTAACTTTTCCCATTGTCTGTACGCTTCTAGGCTTCACTACAACGTTTTCTGTTGCCTGTATCACCTGGAAAATTCGGCCTGTAGCGCACTTATCACAAACCCTGGATTACCCAGCAGTGAAAGAGGTCTTAGGTATGTGCATTAATGTTGTGTGTTCGTCCAGGTAGTCCTCGACTTAACGACGGTTTGTTTAGTGACCGTCCGAACTTACAACGCTACTGAAAAAGGCGACTTGTGATCATTTTCCACACCTTTATAGCATCCCCTTGCTCATGGAATCGAAATTCAGATGCTTAGCGACCGACTCGTACTTACGACGGCTGCGGTGTCCTTGAGGTCACCCGATCCCCTATTGCAACCTTCCAACGAGGAAAGTTGACAGGGGGAAGCCCGATTCGCTTAACAACCGTGTGACTATCTTAACAACTGCAGCGATTCACTAAGGAAGGTCTCAGAATGAGGCAAAATAATAATAATAATTATTATTATTATTTCGCTTAGCCACAGAAATGTTGGTCTTAGGTGGAGGACTAGGTGTAATAGTCTGGCAGCGGCTGTTAACAACTGCAGTCTTTACGCAGTGTTCACCAATGTTCATAACTTCCCTGGGGAGAATCGGAGAATAAATTTGGCACAGTGTGTCTCAACCTTGAGCACTTGAAGCTGTGTGGACTTCAACTCCCAGAATTCCTGAGCCAGCATTTGCTGGCTGGGGAATTCTGGGAGTTGAAGTCCACACATTCTCAGATGCCATCATTGAGAAACCTTGAGTTAGACCAGGGGTAGGCAACCTTGGCTCTTTTATGACTGGTGGACTTCAGCTCCCAGAATTCCTGAGCCAGCCATGGTGAGGGGAAAGGGAGAGGTTTCCAAGCTGAGCCATGCTGGCTCAGGAATTCTGGGAGTTGACATCCACAAGTCATGAGGGGGCCATAGTTCCCTCATGCTGGCTCAGGAATTCTGGGAGTTGAAGTCCACGAGTCATAAAGGGGCCATAGTTCCCCCATGCTGGCTCAGGAATTCTGGGAGTTGAAGTCCATGAGTCATGAAGGGGCCATAGTTCCCCCATGCTGGCTCAGGAATTCTGGGAGTTGAATTCCACAAGTCATGAGGGGGCCATAGTTCCCCCATGCTGGCTCAGGAATTCTGGGAGTTGAAGTTCACAAGTCATGAAAGGGCCAAGGTTGCCTACCCCTGGCCTAAGTCCTCCTGTTCTAAGCGGTGAGCCTCCTAGCCCAGGGGTAGGCAACCTTGGCTCTTTTATGACTGGTAGACTTCAACTCCCAGAATTCCTGAGCCAGCCACGCTGAGGGGAAAGGGAGAAGTTTCCAAGCTGAGCCATGCTGGCTCAGGAATTCTGGGAGTTGAAGTCCACCAGTCATAAAAAAACCAAGGTTGCCTACCCCTGAGTTAGATTATTTGCTATGTTAGCCTTTTACTTTCTTCTGCTTCTGTTCATCAACAGTCCTGACTTACAGCCTACCAGTGAACAACAACAGATCTTGAACCATGCCCTTACACCCGGACAGAGGGTAAAAATTGTGGCTTTTGCAGGTAAGGCAGCCCCAGCCCGGGAGATACTTGATTCTCTCTGTAGGTGCAAATTCACTGATCATTGTATATCTTGAGAACTGAGATCACCTTGCCCGGATCTTCATTTCATCAGCTTTCCCGACTTCCTCCAAAAATCTCTTGCTATTTACAACAATATTCTCCTTGCTGGTGATGTAGGCTGCTACGGTTCTTCTCCACCCTTAATATGGAGATTGTAGTGTTACCGATAGAAGAGAATATTTGTAGCTCATGGTTGGACTGTGGGGGGTCCTTGTTGCTCTCTGAGCTTAAGTTGTTTTCTTGCAGACGTTTCATGACCCAACTAGGTAACATCATCAGTGCTAGAAAGGAGTGGAAATGGGAAGGAAGGAAGGAAGGAAGGAAGGAAGGAAGGAAGGAAGGAAGGAAGGAAGGAAGGAAGGAAGGAGAGGAAGGAAGGAAAGGAAAGGAAAGGAAAGGAAAGGAAGGAAGGAAGGAAGGAAGGAAGGAAGGAAGGAAGGAAGGAAGGAAGGAAGGAAGGAAGGAAGGAAGGAAGGAAGGAAGGAAGGAAGGAGGGACTGTGGGTTCTTTGGTGCTCTCCGAGCTTGGTGGTTTTCTTGTAGACGTTTCATGACCCAACTAGGTAACATCATCAGTGTTTAGAAACTTTCCAGCACAAGCCTTCTCACGCTGGGTGATGTTACCTATTTGGCTCATGAAATGTCTGCAAGAAAACCATCAAGCTCATCAAGGACCTCACAGTTTTCCTCCTCCTCCTCCTCCTCCTCCTCCTCCTCCTCCTCCTCCTCCTCCTCCTCCTCCTCCTCCTCCTCCTCCTCCTCCTCCTCCTCCTCCTCTTCCTCTCCACAAACCCCACTCCCTTCTAGCACTGATGATGTTACCTAGCTGGGTCATGAAATGTCTGCAAGAAAACATCCAAGCTCAGAGAGCATCAAGGGCTCCACATTTCAATTCTCAAATATTCTCTTCAGTTGATTGGATTTTTCCTCTTCCTTCCTCCCTCCCTCCCTCCCCCCCCTCTCTCTCACACACACACACACCCTTATCCCGATCCTTCTCATCTAAGCTGACAGAATGAGTGGGCTTCAGCCCCCCTTTGCTCCCCCAAAGTCTTTGCTTTGTAGCTTGACAAGACCAAGAGCTACTGTTGCCTTGTTGATTCACACGTCTGATAGCTGTGTTCAGACAGACACACACACACACACACACCCTCTCAGACCCAACTTTTTTCGTCTGCTTCAAGTGGCTTTCTCCCCCCCTCCCCCTTTGTTTCCTTAATGATTTGGTTCCTTCGCGTCTGAAGGGATCTATTAGACAAGATTCCTGGATTTTATCCAGCTTGCTCAATTTCATCATTAACAAATGGAAGCATAAGCCTAGCTCAGGGGTAGGCGACCTTGGCTCTTTCATAACTCGTGGGCTTCAACTCCCAGAATTCCTGAGCCAGCCATGCTGAGGGGAAAGGGAGAGGCTTCCAAGCTGAGCCATGCTGGCTCAGGAATTCTGGGAGTTGAAGTCCACCAGTCATAAAAGAGCCAAGGTTGCCTACTCATGTACTAGGGGTCTTCAAACATGGCCCTTTTTTGACTTGTGGACTTCAACTCCCAGAATTCCTGAGCCAGCATGGCTCAGCTTGGAAGCCTCTCCCTTTCCCCTCAGCATGGCTGGCTCAGGAATTCTGGGAGTTGAAGTCCACCAGTCATAAAAGAGCCAAGTTTGCCTACCCCTGTCCTAAGTCCTCCTGTTCTAAGTGGTGAGCCTTCTATACCAGGGGTAGGCAACCTTGCTCTTTTATGACTGGTGGACTTCAACTCCCAGAATTCCTGAGGCAGCATGGCTCAGCTTGGAAACCTTTCCCTTTCCCCTCAGCATGGCTGGCTCAGGAATTCTGGGAGTTGAAGTCCACCAGTCATAAAAGAGCCAAGGTTGCTTACCCCTGGTCTAGGCCTAGGCCGCTTCATGACCTGTGGACTTCAACTCCCAGAATTCCTGAGCCAGCCTGGCTAAGCATGGAAACCTCTCCCTTTCCCCTCAGCATGGCTGGCTCAGGAATTCTGGGAGTTGAAATCCACCAGTCATAAAAGAGCCAGGGTTGCCTACCCCTGGCCTAGCTTCACACTTTCAATCTGAAAAGTCCTGGCAATCTGGCTGTCTTGAAGGAACCTGGCCACGACTGAAATATTTTTTAATTTTTTACACAGGCACAGGGAAAACGTCCACTCTGATCCAGTACGCCCGAAAGTGGTCCCACCTTCATTTCTTGTACTTGGCGTTCAACAAGACCATTGCAAAGCAAGCGTCCCAGCTCTTTCCGGACAACGTCAAATGCAAAACCATCCACTCCTTAGCTTACGCAGAAGTTGGCAAACAGTAAGTGACTGCGTCCTATTTAATGCATCTGCTCTGGTTTAAAAAAAAAAAAAAGGTACAAAACGGCATAAAATAATGGAAAAGAAAGGCTAATCGGATAAAAATTACAGCCATAAAACCCAAGGGGTAGTAGGATCCCAACAAACCAGCAACAAGACAATAATGTATTATTTTGGAACAGTTTCTTAAGACCTTTATGAAATAAAATAGGTCTCCCCGGTGCTGGGAAGATTGTGAATAGAATAACAGACTTGGAAGGGACCTTGGAGGTCTTCTAGTCCCACCTCTGCTCAAACAAGAAATCCTATAACATTTCAGAAAATATCATGTTTTTCCAAAAATAAGATCCAGTATTCTTGTTGTTGTTGTTGTTGTTGTTGTTGTTGTTATGCCTCCAAGAGACATTAGGTCTTATTTTTGGGGAAAATAATAATAATAGTAGTAGTAATAATAATAATAATAATATCTTTATATTTTAAGGAGATACCTGGTTGACACCTAAGATGCAGATAGCAGCCCATGTATGAATAAAAGATAATAAGAATAAGAATAAGAAGAGAAGAGAAAGAACTGGAGAAGATAACAAAATACAAAGACCTACAAATAGAAATAGAAAGACTGTGGCAAAAGCAAGCAAGGGTAGTACCAATAGTAATAGGCTCCTTGGGTGCAATCCCAAAACAACTGGAACACCACTTGAACACCATTGGCACTGACAAATTCGCTATTAGTCAATTGCAAAAGGCAGCCTTACTAGGAACTGCTTCCATCCTGCAACGATATCTGTAATACCATCAAACATCCACATCTGCCTATCCCAGGTCCTGGGTAAGGACTCGATAGGTAGATAAAATGCCAAATCCAGTCTGAACATCTGGCTGACTGTGCGATGATCGATAATAATAATAATAATAATAATAATAATAATAATAAAGTTGGAAGGGATCTTGGAGGTCATCTAGTCCAACCCCCTGCTCAGGAAGGAAACCCTATACCATTTCAGACAAATGGCTGTCCAGTCTCTTCTTAAAAACGTCCAGTGTTGGAGCATTCATCGCTTCTGGAGGCAGGTTGTTCCACTGGTTAATTGTTCTCACTGTCAGGAAGTTTCTCCTTAGTTCCAGGTTGCTTCTCTCCTTGATGAGTTTCCATGATCCGTTGCTTCTTGTCCTGCCTTCAGGGGCTTTGGAGAATATCTTGACTCCCTCTTCTTTGGGGCAGCCCCTGAGATACTGGAAGACTGCTATCATGTCCCCCCTCGTCCTTCTCTTCATTAAACAGGACATACCCAATTCCAGCAACTGTTCCTTATATATGTTTTAGCCTCCAGTCCCCTGATCATCTTTGTTGCTCTTCTCTGCACTCTTTCCAGAGTCTCAATATCTTTTTTACATCGTGGTGACCAAAACTGGATGCAAATATTCCAAATGTGGCCTTACCAAGGCCTTGTAGAGTGGTTTCTTACTGACTGTCTCACCTCACGGTGGCAGGACCAACAGCCCCACCCAGCAGGAGCCCATGTGGCCACCACTGGCTCACTTCTGCGGTCGCTTGCTACTACTTGCACGCGATGCCCCCCGGCCTCCATTTCACCATCAGCAAAACGGAGGCTGGGGGCAAGGCGCGCGAGCGGCTGCAAAAGAAGTGGGCCGGCCGAGGCTAGGCTGGTGTCGGGGTGTGGAGGCCTGGCTCAATTATCCTAAGGCAAGCGGGTGCAGGACAGCTGGGGCAGCTCCACCACTCCTTGATTTTTACCCGCGTGCCTCACCCCATCTCGTGCAACCAGGCCCAACAGTGTGGGAGGGGTCTTAAGTGGGGCTTATTTGGGGGGTAGGGCCTATATTGGGCCTGCGTCTAAAACAGTGGTTCTCAACTTTTTTAATGCCGTGACCCCCAACTGGTCGTAAGTCGAGGACTACTCAACCGGTTGTAAGTCAAGGACTGCTCAACTGGTGCAGCACCGTTTGCAGAATGGGACTTTTGGCGGGCTCAGCAGTGCAGAGACAGCCTGGACAATTCCTATTGGCTTTGGAAAGCCAATAGAATTAGACTCTATTCAAGAGAGCCTCTTCTATTGGCTTTCAAAAGCCAATAGAATAAAAGGGAGTAGCACAGCTAAGGAAAAGGGGGGAAAAAATGGCGGACTGCGTTGTTTGGCGACCCCCATGAAATGGTCGTTCGACCCCAAATGGGGTCCTGACCCACAGGTTGAGAACCACTGGTCTAAAAAAATCAAGCTAGGGCTTATTTTTGGGGTAGGTCTTATTTTCAGGGAAACCCGGTTAGTTGTACAATCTCTTCTTAAACACCTCCAGTGTTGGGGCGCCCACAACGTCTGGAGGCAAGGCGTCCCCCCCGATTAGTTGCTGTCTGGCTGTCAGGAGGTCTCGAGAAAGAGTGATTCAACCTAGAAACTAGAAATGTTCTCCAAGGAGAAATTTCCGATTAGCGAGAACAACTGATCAGTGAAACGACTTGAGGTAAACAACAACTACATACCATTGAAAGCAGACAATCCAGGAGCCAAGAAAAGGGAAACAGACAGCCATCAATCCCCAAATAAGTGGAGATTAAACACCAGGGTTAATTCCACTTTCCCTCTTTCCTTCCGCTCCAGTTACCGACGAAAACTTAACCTGGGCTCGCTGACCTCCTACCTGGTCAGTTTCGTCCTCTCCAATCGCCAGGGCCAGTCTCTGTTCATCAGAGCCAAGTCGGTTGTTCAGACCCTCGCCGCCTTTTTCGCTTCGGCCGATGTCTCCATCGCAGTGGACCACACGCCCATCTGGTGCAAGAACAACCACGGGGAAAAAGTTCTTGTCGACCAACGCGAAAAGCAGGTGCGTATTCGATGCTCGGGAGCCCTGGCAGGTGGTCCTCGACTTAACGACCGTTTCTTTAGTGATCGTTCGAAGTTACGACTGCGCTGACATAAATAACGCACGGCCGTTTTTTTCACCCTTGCGACCGTCCGCGGCTTTCCCCCATGTTCACGCCGTTAAAATTCAGGTGCTTGGCAACCTGACTCAAGTTTATGACGGTTGCAGTGTCCTGAGGTCACACGATCCTCGTTGGCGACCTGGTCAGGAAAATCCGTGGGGAAGCACAATTCGCTTAACGACCGTGTTACTAATTTAACAACGGCAGTGATTCACCCAACAACTTCGGCAAGACAGGTTGTTGTGTGGGGCAAAATTCGCTTAACAGCTGTCTCGCTTAGGAATGGAAATTTGGGCCTACCTGTGGATCCAGACCGTCCTTCTCCTTCAAGTCTCTGGGCAGCCTGGATGACAAAACCTCGGATCTGATCTTGTGCGGCAAGATCTACTTCCCAGCTTTTGCTTTCTAGATCATTGTTGAAGAAGCAAAAGAAATATGGAGCAAGATGCAGACGCTGAGCCCAACCGGAGAAATGGCGCACCGAATGACGCACGATGGTACGTGGGATATCAGGGGAAATATTGGCAGCTCTGCTGAAGAAAGAGGAAGAAAAAATAAGAATAAAGGGGCAATTTTCTTCATGGAGGGAAATTCTAGTCCTGTCTTACCCATGAAAGCTGGCTAGGTGACTTTGGGCCAGTCACCAGGAGACAGTGAGTTCTAGTTCCGCCTTAGGAATGAAAGCCGGCTTTGTGACTTGGGACTAATCACCAGGAGACGGTGAGTTCTAGTGCTGTCTTAAAAAGCCAGCTGCTGACTTTGGGCCAATCACCAGGAGACGGGGAATTATAGTTCCACCTTAGGCATGAAAGCCAATTGGGTGACTTTGGGCCAATCACCAGGAGACGGTGAGTTCTAGTCCTTTCTTGGCCAGTTTAAGACTTGTGGACTTCAAGGAAAGCCAGCTGGTGACTTTGGGCCAATCACCAGGAGATGGGGAGTTATAGTCCTGCCTTAGGAATGAAAGCCAACTGGATGACTTTGGGCCAATCGCCAGGAGACGGTGAGTTCTAGTCTTTTCTTGGCCAGTTTAAGACTTGTGGACTTCAAGGAAAGCCAGCTGGTGACTTTGGGCCAATCACCAGGAGATGGGGAGTTATAGTCCTGCCTTAGGAATGAAAGCCAACTGGATGACTTTGGGCCAATCACCAGGAGACAGTGAGTTCTAGTCCTGCCTTAGGAATGCAATCCGGCCAATCACCAGGAGACAGTGAGTTCTAGTCCTGCCTTAGGCATGCAATCCAGCTGAGTGACTTTGGGCCAATCACCAGGAGACGGTGACTTCTAGTCCTGTCTTGGTCGGTTTAAGACTTGTGGACTTCAACTCTCCGGAATTTCCCAGCCAGCGTGTTGGGAATTGAAGTCCACACATCTTTAAGTGGCCAAGCTTGGGAAGCCCTGTATTCAAAGAAAATATAACATCATGCTTCCTTTTTAAATTATGGGCTCTGTTTCTTTTGTAACACGGGCATCCCAGACTGCAAAGCCACAAATGTTGCTTTATTGTGCACTGATGTTGATTTTAAGCATTGGTCTTCCGTTTTTTAGGTTACCTGAAGCTTTGGCAACTCCAGAAGCCTTCGCTTTCCGAATACGATGTCATCTTGGTGGATGAGGCCCAGGATTGCACCCCCGGTGAGTGAGGTGTAGGTTCTGGGTCCAGTTTTCCAAGTACAGGTAGTCCTCGACTTACGACATTTCGCTTAGTGACCATTTGACATTACGACAGCGCTGAAAAAAGGGATATGAAAAAAGGGGATGCAGCATCCCCACAGTCACGTCATCAAAATTGGGAGGTTTGGCAACTGATTCCTATTTACGACGGTCGCAGTATCCTGGGGGGGTCACGTGACCCCCTTTTGCGACCTTCTGACAAACAAAGTTCATGGGGAAGCCAGATTCACTTCCACCCGTTAAAGAATGCAGGCTGGGGAATTCTGGGAGTTGAACTCCACCCATTTTAAAGCAGGCCGGCTGGGGAATTCTGGGAGATGAAGTCCACCCTTCTAAAAGCAGGCGGGCTGGGGAATTCTGGGAGTTGAACTCCACATATTTTCAACTTGCCAAGATTGAGAAACAACGATCTACTATTAAGGAAAACTCTGTCAGATCCATGGATTATCAGTTTTGGGGTAGAGGGGTGCGATTTCTTCTAGACCCCTCTCCTGTTTGGAAACTCCAGTTCCCATCATTTATGATAAAACATGAAAAAATTAAAATCCATAGCTCATTAAAGCCGCTCTCTCTTTTTGAGGGTCTTGTTCCTGTGAGAACGTTGGCCTTGGCTTCCATTCCACATCAAGCTTCTAAAGATCTCTCTTTTTTCTTTCTCTAGCTGTTATGGACATTGTCCTCTCGCAACCGTGTGGTGTGATCTTGGTGGGAGACCCACACCAGCAGATCTACACCTTTCGGGGTGCGGTCAACACACTTTCTGAGGTGCCCCACAGCCGCATCTTCTACCTGACACAGGTAAGCCGAGGCAGCGTGGCAGGAGAGCTGAGACGTTTGACTTGAGCTTATGGTCCCAAAGACTTTCTCCTTTTTCTTTGAAGACGTGTCGCTTCTCATCCGAGAAGCTTCTTTGGTTCTGACTGGATGGTGGAAGGATTTAATACTCCTTGCAGACCGCTGGTCATTTGCAGTCTTTTAGAGAGTCATTGAGGCCACTTGGAGGTTTATCTGTGTCCTCGGGATCACCTGAGTGGTGCAAATGGGTTTTCCAGCCCTTTCAGCAGTTCCAAGAAGGTTCACACCCGTTTGCACCACTCAGCTGACCCTGAGGACATAGATAAACGTCCAAGTGGCTTCAACGACTCTCTAAAAGGATGCAAATGACCAGCTTTCTGCAAAGGAGTATAAATCCTTCCATTCCCCACCATCCAGTCAGAGCTGAAGAAGCTTCTGGGATGAGAAGCGAAACGTCTTCAAAGAAAAACAAAAAAGTCCAGTTGCCTCTTGGAAAAAGCACCTTTGGGGCAACCTGGATGATGGAGAATCTCCGTAGACTTTGAGATGTGGGTTAGCTGTAGATTGACGATCCAGTTCTTAGCAATGCATGGGTCTTGTTGTGGGTCCCCTCCAGTTCCAATTGAAAGCTATCTCACAATGGCAACTATAAACCAACCAGCTTCCTTAATGCAGTCAGCAAGCTCGAATTCCAGGACTGGCTGAAACAGGAAGACATATTTTCAGAGGAAGCTGTCTTTAGGGAAGGTGTGGCCTAATGGATAAAGCACCAGGCTAGAAAGTGGGAGACGGCGAGTTCTAATCCCGCCTTAGCCATGAAAGCCTGCTGGGTGACTCTGGGCCAATCACCAGGAGACTGGGAGTTCTAGTCCCGCTTTAGGCATGAAAGCCTGCTGGGTGACTCTGGGCCAATCACCGGGAGGCAGTGAGTTCTAGTCCTGCCTTAGGCTTGAAAGCCTGCTGGGTGACTCTGGGCCAATCACCAGAAGGCAGTGAGTTCTAGTCCCGCCTTAGGCATGAAAGCCTGTTGAGTGACTCTGGGCCAATCACCAGAAGGCAGTGAGTTCTAGTCCCGCCTTAGGCTTGAAAGCCTGTTGGGTGACTCTGGGCCAATCACCAGGAGACTGGGAGTTCTAGTCCCGCCTTAGGGTTGAAAGCCGCTGGGTGACTCTGGGCCAATCACCCGGAGACGTTGAAGTCTAATCTTGTCTTAAGCAAGAAAGCTGGTTTGGTGACTTTGGGCCAATCCCTAGGAGACGGTGAGTTCTAGTCCCACTATGGGCACAAAAGCTAGCCAGCCATAGCTGAAGGGGGAAGAAAGGCCAGCAAATTGCACATATATTACGGGATCCAGTTTTTGCGTCACTGGAGGATTCTGTTTTCGTTTTTCCCCTTCCGCAGAGTTTTCGCTTTGGCTCCGAAATCGCTTACGTGGGCGCGACCATTCTGGATGTCTCTAAGGGAGTCCAGAAGAAAACGCTGGTGGGGAACAAGCAGGAAAGTGAGTCTTTGAAGCCAGCCGTCCTTTGGTTGCTCCAGGTGAGTCTGGCTAGGTGGGACTGAGGCGGTGCTCTCTTTTCGACAGGTGACGTCAGTGGGGTCGGCGTGGAGGGGACGGTGGCCCACTTATCCCGGACCAACAAAACTGTCTTTGAGGATGCTGTGAAGCTTACCTGTGGAGACGCACCTGCTAAGATACACTTGCTCGGGGTGAGTGTGAGAAGGCATAGGAAGGACGCAGTAGGGGTTCCTCCCTCCCTCCCTCTTTTCCTTCCTTCTTTCCTCTTTTCCTTCTTCTCTTCATCCCTTTTTTCTTCCTCCCTCCCTCCCCATCTCCTTCCGCCCTCCCTCCCTCCCTCCCCTCTATCTCTCTTCTTTCTTCCCTCCCTTCCTCCCTCCCTCCCTGTTTTCCTTCCTTCTCTTTCTTCCTCCCTCCCTCCCCATCTCCTTCAGCCCTCCCTCCCTCCCTCCCTCTCCTATCTCTTCTTCTTTCCTTCCTTTCTTCCTTCCTTCCTTCCTTCCTTCCTTCCTTCCTTCCTTCCTTCCTCCCTCCATCTCCTATCTCTCTTCTTCCTTCCTTCCTTCCTCCCTCCCTCCCATCTCTCTCCTTCCTTCATCTCCTCTCTCCTTCCTTCCTTCCTTCCCCCCTCCGTCCCTCCTATCTCTCTTCTTCCTTCCTTCCTTCCTCCCTCCGTCCCTCCTATCTCTCTTCTTCCTTCCTTCCTCCCTCCCTCCTATCTCTCTCCTTCCTTCCTTCCTTCCTTCCTCCCTCCCTCCTATCTCTCTCCTTCCTTCCTCCCTCCCTCCCTCCCTCCCTGCGTTTTCCTTCCTTCTCTTTTCCTCTTCCCTTCTTTCTTCCTCCCTCCCTCCCCATCTCCTTCAGCCCTCCCATCCTCCCTCCCTCCTCTTTCTCTTCTTCCTTTCTTCTTTCCTCCTTCCTTCCCTCCCTCCTGTTTATCTCTTCCTCCCTCCCTCCCTCCCTCCCTCTCTCTCTCCTTCCCTCCCTCATTCCCATCCCTTTCCTTTCCTTTCCTTTCCTTTCTAGCACTCATGATGTTACCTAGTTGGGTCATGAAACGTCTGCAAGAAAACCACCCAGCTTGGTAAGCACCAAGAGCTCCACAGTTCTTTTCCCTCCCTCCCTCCCTCCTTTCTTTCTTTCCTTCTTTCCTTCCATCCTCCTTCATACTCTTCCCCCCCCCCAAATTCTCTCCCTCGTTTCCTTTCCCTCTTCTTTGGCGCAGCCCCCCCAATATTGCAAGGCTGCTTTCTTTGTTGAGGAATGTGTTGCCAAACCAGTGAATGCTGCCGATGCATCGTACCCGTTTGGAGGGCATTAAGGGGCCCCAAGGGGCGGGCCGATAATTAACAACTGTGCCTCGGACTACAAGTCCCATCTCACAGGGCTCTCCTTGACATTGTTCCTGTTGTCCTCTTTTCATCAGGGACTGAAAGCCTTTGGCCTTGAGAAGATTCATGATCTCTGGAAGCTCCTTCATCCGGAATGTGAGTTTTTTTCAAGCCGGTGTTTGTGTAGATGCCCAAGTTGTGTACTGACGTACAATCCTTAATGGGATCTTGAAAAAAAAACAACCTCTCTCTTGTTTGATCTTCCCAGTGAGACTCGAGATAAAGGATCCCTTCATCAAGAAGTGGGCTGAGAAGGGCTTGGCCAGCATCAAGGACTATGCTGACAAAGCAGAAGACAAACAGCTGGAAATAAAGATTGCAATTGTGGAGACATATCGGGATCGTATTCCGGAGCTGGTGGAGAGAATAACCCGATGCCACGTCTCGGCTCCAAAGAAAGCAGGTAGAAATCACGTGCGAACAAACAGATCCACGCGTAGAGCATTCAAACTAGCTCCTTTGTAGCAGTAATAATAATAATAATAATGATGATGATGATGATAATCATGATGTTGGAAGGGACCTTAGAGGTCATCTAGTAGGAACCGCCTCCATCCTGCGACGAGATCTGTAATACCATCAAACATCCACATCTGCCTATCCCAGGTCCTGGGTAAGGACTCGATAGGTAGACAAAATGCCAAATCCGGTCTGAACATCTGGCTGACTGTGCGATGATCCATAATAATAATAATAATATTGGAAGGGACCTTAGAGGTCATCTAGTCCAACCCCCTGCTCAGGAAGGAAACCCTGTACCATTTCAGACAAATGGCTGTCCAGTCTCTTCTTAAAAACTTCCAGTGTTGGAGCATTCACCGCTTCTGGAGGCAGGTGGTTCCACTGGTTAATTGTTAATTATTATCTGCTATAATACAGGGAGTCCTCCATTTACGACAGTTCATTTACAGACTGTCAAAAAGTTACAACTCCTCCTCCTCCTTCCTGCAAACCCCACTCCCTTCTAGCACTGATGATGTTCCCTAGTTGGGTAATGCAATGTCCACAAGTCAACCGCCAAGCTCGGAGAGCACCAAGGCAGCCACTGCACCTCTGTCCAGCCGTGACGCCAGGTCCCCGTGCGGTTGATGGAAGTCCACTTTTCTTTCGGACTTTGGGGTCTAGCGGGATTGGAAGCCCTCTTATTCTGAGCACCTGCGTGGCTCCTCCGTCGGAGAAGGGAGAAAGGCGTCCAGGCCCGCCTTCCTTCCTTCCAGATCTCTGCTGCTCGTGAAAAGAATAGAACGGACTGTCTTTATTGTCACTGTGTAACTCGCAACTCGTAGTTAAGTTGGAAATGTTCCGTTATGGACCTCACTGCTTCTCCTCTGTGTGTTTCAGACCACATCCTAGGCACTGTGCACAAGGCCAAGGGGCTGGAGTTCGACACGGTCCAAGTTGCTGGAGATTTTGCCAGCATCCCCTTTACCTGGCCCTACCTTGAAAGGATGCCTCGGTCCCCACCTGGTGAGCATAATTTCCTTCCTTCCTCCCTCTCCTTCCTTCCTTCCTTCCTTCCTTCCTTCCTTCCTTCCTTCCTTCCTTCCTTCCTTCCTTCCTTTTTTTCTTTCTTTCTTCTGTGTCATGTTCCTTTCCTTCCTTCCTTCGTCCCTCCATCTCTATCATTTTACTTCCTTCCCTTCCCTTCCATGGGCAAACAGCCGGTCAGGATTGAACTCCTGGCAGTGGGCAGAATTAGCCTGCAACACTGCATTCTAACCACTGCACCACCATGGCCCTTCCTTCCTTCCTTCCCTGCCTCCCTCCCTTCCCCTTTCTTCTTTCTTTCTTTCCTTCCTTCTTTCCTTCCCTGCCTCCCTTCCCCTTCCTTCCTTCCTTTCTCCCTCCCTCCCTACCTTCCCCTTCCTTCTTTCTTTCCTTCCTCCCTTCCTTCCTTCCTTCCTTCCTTCCTTCCTTCCTTCCTTCCTTCCTTCCTTCCTTCCTTCTTTCCTTCCCTGCCTCCCTTCCCCTTCCTTCCTTCCTTTCTCCCTCCCTCCCTATCTTCCCCTTCTTTCCTTCCTTCCTTCCTTCCTTCCTTCCTTCCTTCCTTCCTTCCTTCCTTCCTTCTTTCCTTCCCTGCCTCCCTCCCTTCCCCTTCGTTCCTTCTTTCCTTTCTTCCTTCCTTCCCTGCCTCCCTCCCTTCCTTCCTTCCTCTCCTCTTCCTATCTCTATCCTTCCTTCCACCCTCCCTCCCTTTTTTCTTCTCCTTTCTTTCACCTTCTTCCTTTCTTTCCATCCACCTACCCAGTTCCCTCCCTCCCTCCCTTTTTCGTTAATCGCTGATAGCAATGTCTAATCAACCACGGAACACCTCCCTTTCTTGGTGGCTGGGATAGGGCACCACTCAGCGCTCTAGAGTTCCGGTGTGCGCTTGGAGCGGATCTGCTCAAAGAAATAAGCCGTTCCCATTAAACTTCCTTTTTTTTCCCTCCTTTCCTCTTTCCTTAAATCTCCCGCCAGAAGCCGTCCCTGAAGATGAGTGGAACTTGCTGTACGTCGCGGTCACGCGAGCTAAGGAGGGTCTCATCCTGCCCAGATTTCTCACCGATATCCTAAAAGTGGCCAAGGTGAGTCAAAGCCAGTCACAGAACGGGGAGTCCTCGACTTACAACTTTTCCTGTAGTGACTGTTCAAAGTTACAGCGGCACGGAGAGCGACTTATGACCCTGTTTCATACTTACGACCGTTGCAGCACTCTTGTGGCCATTCAGACGCTTGGCAACCGGCTCATGTTTATGACGGTCGCAGCCTCCCCGGGGTCAGGTGATTCCCCCTTTTGCGACCTTCTGACAAGCAAAATCTATGGGGAAAAGCCAGATTCGCTTAACGACCGGGTCACTAACTGTAACAGATGCAAAGATTCACTCCGCAAGGATGGGGAGAAAGGTTGCAAAATGGGAGAAAAATTCACTTAACAACTATCTCACCCAGCGACGGAAACTTTGAACTCTGTTCTGGTCGTAAGTCGAGGACCCCCCGTGATTCCAATGCTCAGGAACCCCTTTTTTTCCCCTAGCTAGCTAAATGCTTCTGATTTCTCCCCCTCCCGCCAAGGAATACTACGTACGGTTTGAACTCGCCGACAAAGTGCGCAAAACGACATCCCTTTGGTGTTCGGAGCGCGGCTGCTGCAACGCCATCCCAGCGGATTCTGTCCTAATCCCCAAAAGGACGAAGTTTGTTTACGTAAGTATCTCCTTTTTTAGGAAGTGACCAGCTCAGTAATACTATAACCTAGTAAGGCCACACCTGGAATGTTGCACCCAGTTTTGGTCACTGCGTTACAGAAAAGATGTTGAGACTTTGGGGAAAGTGCAACGAAGAGCGACTAAGAGGGTCAACGGCCTGGAGACTAAAACGTGTGTTTCTGGTCACCAAGCTCAGAGAGCACTAAGGACCCCACAGTCCTCCTCTTCTTCTTCCTCCTCCTCCTCCTCCTCCTCCTCTCCACAAACTCCCTTCCTTTCCATCACTGATAATGTTCCCTAGCTGGGTCATGAAACATCTGCAGTGAAACCATCAAGCTCAGAGAGCACCAGGGAACCCACAGTCCTCCTCCTCTTCTTCTTCTTCCTCCTCCTCCTCCTTCTCCCCCTCCTCCTTCACCCCCTCCTCCTCTCCACAAACTCCCTTCCTTTCCATCACTGCTAATGTTCTGTAGTTGGGTCATGAAATGTCTCCAAGCTCAAAGAGCACCAAGGACCCCACAGTCCTCCTTCCCCCCTCCCCTCCTCCTCCTTCTCCTCCTCCTCTCCACAAACTCCCTTCCTTTCCATCACTGATAATGTTCCCTAGTTGGGTCATGAAACGTCCGCAATGAAACCTCCAAGCTCAGAGAGCACCCAGGACCCCACAATCGTCTTCCTCCTCCTCCACCACTTCCCACATTCACATCCCACAAACACGGGTGGCTAGAGATTTTCTCAGTCCCGCTAATCTCATTGTTTTCTTTTTGTTCTCCACCTTTTTCTGGCAGACGGATGGCACCCAAACCCCCGAGGGATTGCTTTGTCCTTTTTGCACCACGAGGACCCTCGGCCCCATTGCACAGCTGACAGGCTGTCCCACTATAGTGCAGGAGGCTGCCTGTCGCCCAGAAGTCATGGAGCTTCCGCCCGCAGTTCGCCTCCTTCTCGAAATCCTTTGAGTTCTCCCCCCCCCCCCAAAAAAATTGCACTGGGTATTTTTCAAGGAAAAAAGAAGCAAAGAATGTAGAAAGGAAGTAGTTCTGTTTGATGTGGGAGTGATGGTCTTGTTGTGGTGCCCGGGTAAGGAATGTGCAGAAAAGCCCGGCCACATCTCTATACAGTTGTTTTGCTGTGCAGCCGGAATATTTTGCACTATTAACCATCGCAGCTGGTGGTTCCCTTGGCTGAAATTTCCAACATCTGACCTCATATCGAAAGCAATAGCACCTAGACTTATATATCGCTTTGCAGCACTTTACAGCCCTCTCTAAGCGGTTTACAGAGTCAGCATCTTGTCCTCAACAATCTGGATCAAACTGCTGGCAGTCGGCAGAGTTAGCTTGCAATATTGCATTCTAACCACTGCACCACCACAGTCCTTCCTTCCTTCCTTCCTTCCTTCCTTCCTTCCTTCCTTCCTTCCTTCCTTCCTTCCTTCCTTCCTTCCTTCCTTCCTTCAGAATTAGTAATAATACTTAGACTTACTGCCCTCTCTAAGCTGTTTAGAGAGTCAGCATCTTGTCCTCAACAATCTGGGTCCCCATTTTAAGGATGGAAGGCTGAGTCAACGTTGAGCTGGTGAGGATCGAACTGCTGGCGGTGGGCAGAGTTTGCCTGCAATACTGCATTCTAAGCACTGCACCAAGATGGCCCTCCCTCCCTCCTTCCTTCGGACTTAGCAATAGTAGACTTATATCAGGGCAATTTGGAAACAAACAGACACTCACAGATACAGAACTTTTATTATGCACATTAGAAAACGACAACATTACATTTCTTAATAGTCGTCGCTCAGTGCCAAATCTGGGCTATGGGTGTGTGTGATCCAAAACATCCCAACGGGACTGCTTCAAAAGTTCTCAGGTGCGTCTAGCAGTGTGCGGGCGAGCATTGTCGTGGACCAACACTACATCGGAAGTCAGCTTGCCCCGACCCTTGTTATGGATGGCTCATCTGAGTTTCCGTCACGTTTCACAGCAGACGTCCGAATTGATGGTCAACCACGGTCCACGAACTTCACTAGCCGTACTCCTTTGGCATCTTCACATTTGGCGGGATTTTCTATGGCACCACTTTGGTGTAGTGTTGGTTCACGATAATGCTTTTTGTTTTTTTTCCAATTCTTGTGAATTTTTTTCCACTAGGACAGTGGTTCTCAACCTGTGGGTTGGGACCCCATTTGGGGTCGAACGACCATTTCACGGCGGTCGCCAAACAACGCAGTCTGCCATTTTTTTCCCCCTTTTCCTTAGCTGTGCTACTCCCTTTTATTCTATTGGCTTTTGAAAGCCAATAGAATAGACTCTCTTGAATAGTGTCTAATTCTATTGGCTTTCAAAAGCCAATAGGAAATGTCCAGGCTGTCTCTGCCCTGCTGAGCCCGCCAAAAGTCCCATTCTGCAAACGGTGCTGCACCAGTTGAGTAGTCCTCGACTTATGACCGGTTGAGTAGTCCTTGACTTATGACCGCTTGGGGGGTCGCGGCATTAAAAAGATTGAGAACCACTGCACTAGGATTAAATCATGTTTCCTTGTTTTGTTAAGTTCCCTCTTTAAGTCTCTATTCTCAATTCTATATCCATTTCTCTGTTTTATCTGCTCCTTCTCTGTTGTTGTTTTCTAGGAATGTTTATTGTTGTAAAGTTCACTTGGAAATAAATTGGTTTATATTTTCAAAGTTGTTGTGGATTTCTTTGTGGTTTGCTGTTTGAATTAGTTGCAGTATACTATATATCTCCTCCTTCGATGTATTTATGTTTTCTTGATAACTGTTCTTTCTACTTGTCTCTGATCTATGATAGCCAAGAATTTGAGTTTTCCTTTTTTTGTCTGGAAATAGCTTTAGAGTCCCAATTAGATAGAAATTAAATGTAAAATAGAAAAGAGAAGATCAAATTCCTCACCCAGTTTCAAGCACGCTGCTCACAGTTGTGCTGGTTAGTGCTTTTGGACTTTGGTTGCAAGTAGCTTGGGCTGGTCGAAACGGCCAGCCTTTCTCTCTTGTTGGGTTAGAAGGCTTTACCCAAGTCAAACGGAACAGCCAAGAGACCCTGCAACCGTCGCAAATAGGAGCCAGTTGCCCCATTTTACGACCTCTCTTCCCAGTTATTAAGTGAATCGCTGCCGTATGTCCAAATGTTGATCACGTGACCGTGGGGATGCTGCAACCGTCGTGTGAAAAATCATTTTGTCACTTAACAACTGTGGCAAGAAAGGTTTTAAAAAAGTTTTAAAACTCACTACACCAGTGTCTCGCTTAGCGACCAAAATTTTGGGCTCAGTTGTGGTCGTAAGTTGAGAACTACTTGTAGGTTAACTATTTAAAAAAAACATACATTGACTGTTCCCTATTTCTCTGTAAAAACAGGAGAGTAGGGACAGTTGTGTGAAATATAATTCCTAATACTGGTTGTTTTTTTAATGGGGGGACAACGCTGAGAAGGGCCGAAAGAAAAGTCATCCTGTGGTCCTCTCAGCAGGGATGCAACGGAGAGTATCGTAAGCTGAGAGTTTGGCAGCACTTGGCTGAGCTTGGGCAAAGATCCCCGGGGTTCAGATCTGGTTAGCGGGATGGGAGGGGGCACCGCTACAAAATCCCAGGGCTGTCAATGAGACGGAGGAGTTAAAAAGTGTCCAGAAACCAGATCACTTCCTGGAGGTGTCCATGAAATCAACAGGAATCGACCTTGGCTTTACAAAAAAAAAAAAAAAGTTAAAATCTGCTTGACAATCTGCTGGTTTCTCAAAGAGAAATAAGATCATGGAAGTGTTTGTGTGTGTCTGTGTAAAACACAATTTTCCAGTTTATATCTCTCTGGAATTAAGATTGCCGGGAGAAATATCAACAACCTAAGATATGCAGATGACACCACTCTAATGGCAGAAAGTGAAGAGGAACTAAAGAGCCTCTTGATGCGGGTGAAGAAGGAGAGTGCAAAAGTTGGCTTGAAACTCAACATTAAGAAAACCAAAATCATGGCATCCGGCCCTCTCAATTCCTGGCAAATAGATGGGTAAGAAATGGAGGTAGTGACAGATTTTATTTTTCTGGGCTCAAAGATCACCTCAGATGGGGACTGCAGCCAAGAAATTAAAAGACGCTTGCTCCTGGGGAGGAAAGCTATGGCAAATCTAGACAGCATTCTAAAAAGCAGAGACATCACCCTGCCAACAAAAGTGCGCATAGTCCAGGCCATGGTTTTCCCAGTTGCAATGTATGGCTGTGAAAGTTGGACCATAAGAAAGGCTGAGCGCAAAAGAATTGAGGCCTTGAACTATGGTGCTGGAGAAGACTCCTGCGAGTCCCTTGGACTGCAAGGCGTTCAAACCGGTCAGTCCTAGAAGAGATCAACCCCGACTGCTCTTTAGAAGGCCAGATCCTGAAGTTGAAACTCAAGTACTTTGGCCACCTAATGAGAAGGAAGGATTCACTGGAGAAGAGCCTAATGCTGGGAAAGATTGAGGGCAATAGAAGAAGGGGACGACAGAGAATGAGATGGCTGGATGGAGTCACTGAAGCAGTAGGTGTGAATTTAAATGGACTCCAGAAGATGGTAGAGGACAGGAAGACCTGGAGGAACGTTGTCCATGGGGTCGCGATGGGTCGGACACGACTTCGCAATTAACAACAACAACCTGCCATCTGGTGGCCCAATGGATTCTGATTTTCATCCATGCGCTGTGTAAATATCTTTATCTTCCATCCATCCATCCTATTTCATCCATCCACTTTATTATCTGTCTGTACCTATCAACTATCATTTATCTTCTATCATTATTTATCTTCTACTATCATCTATCATTTATCTTATCTATCATTTATCTGTATATCATCTAATTTATCCTCTATCTTCTATCATTTATCTTCTATCGTCTATCATTTATCTTCTACTATTTCTACCTATCATTTATATCTCATCTATCATCTATATCATCTAATTATCATCTATCATCTGTCAATCTATATCAGAGCTCTGTTCTGGGCCCAGTGCTCTTCAACATCTTCATCAACGATTTGGACCAGGGGATAGATGGGGAACTCATCAAATTTGCGGATGACACCAAGCTGGCAGGAATAGCCAACACTCCAGAACAAGGCTTTTCAATCTTTTCACCCATTGTACCACTTTTAGGATATGGCAATATCCGAGTACCACCTAGCAAGGTGTCAAAAACTTGATGAACAAAAAATTAAAAAAGTAATAAAGTACAGGTAGTCTTCGACTTAACAACAGTTTGCTTAGTGACTGTTCGAAGTTACAGCCCTGAAAAAAGTGCCCAAGGCACAGCCGAGCAAGACACCTGCCTGCCCGTCGGGCGGCGCTCTCATTCCCCTCCCCCGCTACCACTTTTCTAGGATGGTCGCGTACCACTTGCCAGATGCCAATGTACCACAGGTAGTACCCGTATCACTGGTTGAAAAGCCCTGCTCCAGAAGACAGGCTTAGGATACAGGAGGGCCGACAGACTCGAACATTGGGCGCTATCTAACAAAAAATGAAATTCAGTGGTGAAAAAAGTAAGGTTCTACATTAGGCAAGCATAGTAGGGGGTACCTTGCTCAATAGTAGTAACTGTGAGACGGAGCTCTGAGTCCTAGTGGACAATCACCTAAATATGAGCCCGCTGTGTGCTGCAGCTGCCCAAAAAAGCCAACACAGTGCTAGGCTGCATTCAGAGGGATAGAATCAAGATCACATAAAGTGTTAATACCACTTTACAACGCCTTGGTCACCACTATGTAAAAAATATGTGGAAAGAGTACAGAGAAGAGCAACAAAAATGATTAGGGGACTGGAGGCTAAAGCATATAAAGAACGGTTGATGGAATTGGGTATGTCTAGTTTAATGAAGAGAAGGATGAGGGGGGACAGGATAGCAGTTCCAGTATCTCAGGGGCTGCCCCAAAGAAGAGGGAGTCAAGCTATTCTCCAAAGCACCTGAAGGCAGGACAAGAAACAATGGATGGAAACTAACCAAGGAGAGAAGCAATCTGGAACTAAGGAGAAATTTCCTGACAGAACAATTAATCAGTGGAACTACCTGCCTCCAGAAGTTGTGGATGTTCCAATACTGGAAGTTTTTAAGAAGAGACTGGATAACCATTTGTCTGAAATGGTATAGGGCAGGGGTCTGCAACCTTAAAAACTCAAAGAGCCACTTGGACCCATTTCCCAGAGAAAACACTGGGAGCTGCAAAACTTGCGCACGCATGTGCGCACACAAAGGGTGGTGAACTTGATTGAAGAGTTTAATTGAAAAAAATAGAGGCTGCTGTGCATTAGCTCTTTCCTTTCCCTCTTTCCTTTCCTTCCTCTTCCTTTCTCGCTTTCCTCTCCCCCTTTCTCTCCCTCTTCCCTCCCCTTTTCTCTCCCTCTCTCTCTCTCTCCCCATCTCCAATCTTCTGTTCACCTGGCAAGCTGGCTTCACGCTGTTCTCGAACAAGCTGGTAAACATTCTTATTGGGCTGGCTCTCTCTTGCCCTTCCTGCAGAGATGCAGCAAAAGGAGACCCGCCCAATAAGCTTGTCAACTCGTTGGAGAACAGTGTGAGGCCACTCTTTTACACACAGAGAGGGAGAGGGAGAGAGAGAGGGGGGGGGGGGAAGGGAAGCACAAGTGCCTGTCTGTCTCTTCTCTCTCTGCAAATGGCAGAGGAGGCTGGGAGCCACAGAAGGCTGAAAGAGCGACATGCAGCTCTGGAGCTGCAGGTTCCCAACACGTGGTTTTCTGCCTGAGCAGGGGGTTGGACTAGATGACCTCCAAGGTCTCTTCCAAATTTATTATCATCTTCTATCATTTATCTGTTACTATTTCTATTACCATTATCTATCTATCTATCTATCTATCTATCTATCTATCTATCTATCTATCTATCTCTATATCTATCATCTAATCTATTTAATCCATCTGTCCATCCATTCAGATTTCACAAAGAAGGAAATGGTCATATCATTGTCACTTGCAACCATTACTAGTTTATTTGATTCATTCATATAAGCAAGCACACTTTTCAACATTTTTTTATGAAAAACATACTAAAAACAAAAGAACAAATGCGCAAGTTCTAAAGAGTAATTGGAAAGACAGGAATTTGGAAAAATCATCTTCTTTTTACCTTTTCATTGCAAAAACTGTTCATTTAGTGTCCATTCCAAGTTACAACGGCACTGAAAAAAGTGTCTCAGGACCGCTTTTCATACAACTGTTGCAGCCTCCCCAGGCTCACTTGATCAAAATTGGCAACTGACTCACATTTATGATGGTCGCAGTGTCCACGTGATCCCTTTCTGCGACCACAGCAACCATCATAAATATAAACGAATTGTCAAGTTGGTTTAATCAATAGAGGTAGCAAAAATTGTATGTGTGAAACAGTCCTGCTTCTTTGCTTGTCAGAAGTGCTATTATAACTTTGAGCGGTCACTAAACATTGTCTGTTGTAAGTTGAAGAGTACCTGTAATCGCGGGCAAACTCTGCCAACTGCCAGCAGTTCGATCCTGACCAGCTCAAGGTTGGTAAAATGAAAACCCAGATTGTTGGGGGCAACAGGCTGACTCTGTAAACTATGTAGAGAGGGCTGTAAAGTGCTGCGAAGCGTTGTATAAGTGCTATTGCTAAGTGCGAAGGAAGGAAGGAAGGAAGGAAGGAAGGAAGGGAGGGAGGGAGGGAGGGAGGGAAGGATTGGGGATACAGATAGTCCTTAAACTGCTGTGAAGCGGTATATAAGTGCTTTTGCTATTGCTACTTAACCATAATTGGTTAGCTAAGCCACAATTGGGATTCACAGTACCAAAATCACATAGCATGATTTACAAACTGGGTTTAGAAACATGCTAAATCAAAACTAAGCAAACTACATTTTGGCTTAGGATTTCTCTCCAGAAACCCACACACTGAATGAAGCCTGGTTGTAATGTAGGGCTGTGAGAGTTGGGTGCTTTCAAATTGTGCTGGAGAAGTCTCTTGGACCGCAAGGAGATCACAGGGAGAACAATTCATGATTAATAATAATTAATACCTCGAAATCGTGGCTCTTCCTCCAACACTGGAAGTTTTTAAGAAGAGACCGGACGTTTGTCCGGAACGATAGAGGAAGTCAACTCAACTTACAACCACAATACGACACAATACAAGGGGGCGCTGTGCTTAGAATGCAGGATCCCATCCAGGCTGGCTCTGCCCACTGCCAGCAGTTCGATCCTGACGGGCTCAAGGTTGACTCGGCCTCCCGTCCTTCGGAGGTGGGTAAAATGACGGCCCAGATGGTTGGGGGCAAAGAGGCTGACTCTGTAAACCGCTTAGAGGGGGCAGTAAAGCGGTATATAAGTCTATAGGGGCTGTTGCTATTCCTTTTGATAGGATGGCAAAAGTTGGACATTTCAGCCAAGGGAACCACCGGCTGTGCAAGAGGGAGAAATGGGGAAGCCGTAAGGACAGCAGCCCAGACGTCCCCAGGTATGCGACAAGGGTGTACTGTGGGTGCTGTGATGTTCTGCTGGCTCCAGGATGGAAGGGAAGCACCGTAAAACCACCGTGTAGAGGTGTGGCCGATCATTTGTGCACAGTCCCCCCCTTGGGTGGAGAAGAAACAACAGGTGGAAACTAATCAAGCAGAGAAGCAACCTGGAATGGAGGAGAAACTTCCTGACAGTGAGGACAATTAACCAGTGGAACAGATTGCCACCAGAAGTTGTAGGGGGCTTCTTCACTGGGGTTTTTTAAGAAGACACTGGGCAGCCACTTATCTGAAATAGCACAGGGCCTCCTGTTTGAGGAGGGGGTTGGACTACTAGACCCCCAAGGTCCCTTCTGATTCTGACTCTCCAGGCACCACAACAACAGCATCGCTCTCACATCAATAGGACCCCTTCCTTTCTACATTCTTTGCTTTCTTTTTGCTTTGAAAAATGCCCAGTGCAATTTTTATTTTTGTGTGTGAAGAACTCAAAGGTCTTCGAGGAGGTGGCGAAACTCAGGTGGAATCTCAATGACTTCTGGAGCACGGGCAGCCTCCTGCACCATCGTGGGAGATCCTGCGAGGTGTGCAACGGGGCCGAGGATCCACGCTGCGCAAGAAGGACAAAGTAATATCTCGGAGGTTTCGCTGCCGTCCGACTGCCAGAAAAAGGTTGAGGGGAAAAAAAAAAAGTGAGGTTTGCAAGACAGAGACGATCTCTACCCACCCGTGTGCATGGGAGGCGGCTCTAAATAGCATCCTCCTGATTCTGGAGTGCTGATAAGAGAGAATATTTGTAGCTGAGGGTTGAACTGTGGGGTCCTGGGTGCTCTCTGAGCCTGGTGGTTTTCTTGCAGATGTTTCTTGACCCAACTAGGGAACATCATCAGTGCTAGAAGGGAGAGGGGTTCGTGGAGGAGAAGGAGGAGGACTGTGGGGTCCTTGATATTCTTTGGTTGTTTTCTTACAAACATTTTATTACCTAACACAGCAGTTCTCAACCTGTAGGTCGCGACCCCATTTGGGGTGGAACGACCATTTCACGGGGGTCACCAAACAACGCAGTCCGCCATTTTTTTCCCCTTTTCCTTAGCTGTGCTACTCCCTTTTATTCTATTGGCTTTTGAAAGCCAATAGAATAGACTCTCTTGAATAGAGTCTAATTCTATTGGCTTTCAAAAGCCAATAGGAGTTGTCCAGGCTGTCTCTGCCCTGCTGAGCCCGCCAAAAGCCCCATTCGGCAAACGGTGCTGCAAGTTGTCTGCAGCGAAGGCGAGCTGTCTGGAAGTTTCCACCCCTCCCTGCTGAGCAACTACTAACAATGTAAGGAAAAGAGGGCCAGGGGTGGGAGGTGGGAGGCCGGCAGGCGCAGGGAGGGTTGTTGGTGCGCCTGGGGCCTGGTGGGTGCCTTACCTCCCTTGAGCTGGGCCAGCTGGTGGCCCAGCCGGTGGTCGGCCTGCGCCGTCTCTGCCGCTTGCCAGCTACGCCTCGGCCGGCGCAGGGGGCAGCACCACGCATGCGCGGCGCTCCCGGGCAGGGAAAGTCCTCGACTTACGACCGGTTGAGTAGTCCTTGACTTACGACCAGTTGGGGGGGGGGTCGTGGCATTAAAAAGGTTGAGAACCACTGACCTAACAGGTAACATCATCAGTACTAGAAGCCTCCTAGCATATGTCTTCTAGCACTGATGATGTTACTTAATTGGGTAATAAAATGTCTGCAAGAAAAGCGCCAGGCTCAGAGAGCACCAAGGACCCTGCACTCCATGTTACTCTGAATGGGGAGCAGTCTGCCTCCAAAGCATCCTTGCAAGGAGCAACAGCAGGAGAGGGAAATATTTCCGACTCCTGCTTGGAAGAGAGGTTGACCAAAAACACGTTCTAGTCTCCAGGCCGTTGACCCTCTTAGTCGCTCTTCGTGGCACTTTCCCCAAAGTCTCAACATCTTTTTTTTAATGCAGTGACCAAAACTGGATGCCGCCTTACTAGGTTATAGTATTACTGAGCTGGTCACTTCCTAAAAGGAGATACGTACGTAAGCAAACTTCATTCTTTTCGGGATTAGGAAAGAATCCGCTGGGATGGCGTTACAGCAGCCGTCCTCCAAACACCAAAGCGATGTCGTTTCGCGCACTTTGTTGGCGAGTTCAAACCGTATGCAGTATTCCTTGGGGAAAAAACACCAGAAGTGATTAGCCAGCCAGGAAACCAGGGGGCTCCCGAGGACTGGAACACAGGTAGGCCTCAACTGCATAATTTCCGTTGCAAGGTGAGGCAGTTATTAAGTGAATTTTGCCCCACTTTACGACCTTTCTTGCCACTGTTGTTACGTCAGTCCTCCCAGTCGTTAGGTCAGTGACACAGCCGTTAAGTGAATTTAGCTTACTCCCATTGACTTGGCTGGTCAGAAGGTCGCAAAAGGGGATCATGTGACCCTGGGACACTGCCACCTCATAAGTATGAACCAGTTGCCAAGCGTCCAGGTTTTGATCATGTGGCCCTGGGGATATGGCAATCATCATTAGGATGAAGTCACTTTTTTCAGGGCTGTTGTAACTTTGAACAGTCACTAAATGAAAAGTTGTTAAGTCGAGGACTATCTGCATTAATGGCTTTAACTCACCTTGGCCTTTTCTAGGACAGAAGCAAACAATCTGGGCAGGATGAGACGCTTCTTGGCTCGCGTGACAGCGACATACAGCAAGTTCCACTCAATGTCTAGGGTGGCTTTGGATGAGAGAGGAGAGGGAAAAGGAAAAACTGAGTATAATGGCATGGGTTTCTTTCTTTGAGCAGATCTGCTCCAAACACACATCTGAACTCTTGAGCACTGAGTGGTGCCCATTCCCAGGCCAAGGGAGGTGTTCCATGGTTGATCAGACATTGTTATCAGGGATTCCCTAAAAAGGAGGGAGGGAGGGGAACGGATGGAAGGATGGATGGGTGGAAAGAGAGAAGGTAAAAGAAGGAAAAGGGAGGGAGGGTGGAAGAAAGGAAGGAAGAATAGAGATGGAAGGAAGGAAGGAGATAGAGATAGGAGGAGGGGAGGCAGGAAAGGAGGGGAGGGAGGAAGATTAGAGAGACAGAAGGAAGGAAGGAAAGAAGGAAGATAGGAAGATGATAGAGATAGAAGGAGGGGAGGGAGGAAAGGGAGGGAGGGAAGGAAGATGATAAAGGAAGGAAGGAAGGAAGGAAGGAAGGAAGGAAGGAAGGAAGGAAGGAAGGAAGGAATAGAGATAGGAGGGGAGGCAGGAAAGGAGGGGAGGAAGATTATAGAGATAAAAGGAAGGAAGGAAAGAAGAAGGAAGATAGGAAGATGATAAGAGATAGGAGGGGAGGGAGGGAGGGAGGGAAGGAAGATGATAGAGGAAGGAAGGAGGGAGGGAGAGAGGGAGGGAGGGAGGGAAGAAAGGAAAGAAGGAAGGAAGGAAGGGCCCTGGTGGCACAGTGGTTCAAATGGAATATTGCAGGCTGACTCTGCCCACAGCCAAGAGTTCAATCCTTACCGACCCAAGGGTGACTCGGCCTTCCATCCTTTCGAGGTGGGTAAAATGAGGAGCCAGATTGTTGGGGGGGGGGGCAACAGGCTGGCTCTATAAACTGCTTAGAGAGGGTTGTAAAGCACTGTGAAGCTGTATATAAGTCTAAGGGCTATGGCCATTGTTAGGATGTGACCAAGAATCAAGGAAAGCAGCTTCCAGATTCTTCCCGATGGATCGTTCTGCGTTTCGTTGTTGTTTATCGTCGGTCAAGCCACACCATGCATCTGACAAAAAGCTAATGTGTTTCCATAAAAGGGAGGGAGGAAGGAAACTCTACTCACTGGCTTCAATCCCAGGCACCTTTTCAGGGTAGCATCCCATTGCAAGCTGGATGTTCTCAAAGTCCCCACCAATTTGGACCGTGTTGAACTCCAGCCCCTTGGCCTTGTGCACAGTGCCTAGGATGTGGTCTGAAACACACAGAGGAGAAGCAGTGAGGTCCATAACGGAACATTTCCAACTTAACTACGAGTTGCGAGTTACACAGTGACAATAAAGACAGTCCGTTCTATTCTTTTCACGAGCAGCAGAGATCTGGAAGGAAGGAAGGCGGGCCTGGATGCCTTTCTCCCTTCTCCGACGGAGGAGCCCCGCAGGTGCTCGGAATAAGATGGCTTCCAATCCCGCTAGACCCCAAAGTCTGAAAGAAAAGTGGACTTCCATCAACCGCACGGGGACCTGGCGTCAGGGCTAGACAGAGGCGCAGTGGCTCCCTTGGTGCTCTCCGAGCTTGGCGGCTGACTTGCGGACATTGCATTACCCAACTAGGGAACATCATCAGTGCTAGAAGGGAGTGGGGTTTGCAGGGAGGAGGAAGAGGTGGTGGAGGACTCTATGGTCTTTGGTACTCTCTGACTTGGTGGTTTTCCTGTAGATGTTCCATAGCCCAACTAGGGAACATCATCAGTATTAGAAGGGAGTGGGCTTTGGAGAGAGGAGGAGGAGGAAGAGGAGGAAGACTGTGGGGTTCTGAACTGGGCTGTTTTCTTGCAGACATTTCATGACCCAACTAGATAACATCATCTGCTCATGAACCTCATACTGATATCTTTTTTTTCCTTCAAAGATCCCATTTGAACCCCAATTTTACCTGGCTTTAAGGTAATTCCCAACCTATGACCACAACTGAGCCCAAATTGAGCCTCGGAGTTCTGATTTGTTTGGTCTCGGATCCACGGCCTTTCCATTGCTAAGCAAAACAGCCGTTAGGCGAGAGCTTTGCCCCATTTTATGACCACAGCCGTTAAGCGAATCACTGCAGTCGTTATGTTAATACGGCTGTAAAGTGAATCTAGCTTCCCGAGTGAATTTGATTGCCGCAAATGGGGGAATCACGTGACTCCGGGGACACGGCAACCGTCATAAAGGTGAGTCCGTTCCCAAGCGTCCGAATTTTGATCACGGGACCCCGGGGATGCGGCAACGGTCGTTAAGTGTGAAAGACGGTCATAAGTCACTTTTCTCGGTGCCGTTGTGACTTTGAATGGTCACTAAAGGAACTGTCGTACGTGGAGGACTATCTGTATTACAGGCAGACGATAGTAATAAAAGAAGCTAGTTTGAATGCTATTTGTCTGGATCTGGCTCTTTGCGCAGGATATTTACCTGCATCTTCTGGAGACGAGACATGGTGCTGGGATATTTTGTCCAACAGATCCGGAATAGAACCCTGAGTCTCCTCCACAATTGCAATTTTTGATTTTAGTTCTTCGTCTTCTGTTTCTTTAGCATGGTTCTTGAAGCTCTTGAAGCCTTTTTTTTCCCAACTTTTGATGAAGGGATCCTGTATCTCGAGTTTCTCTAAGAAGATCAAGGCAGGATGTTAAGTGAGTCACGTCCGACTTTACAATCTTTTTTTCCTATGGTCAGCTGGGGAGATGGCTCCCATGGCGACCACGTGACCCCGGGACACTGCAACCTTCCTAAGTGCCTGCCAGTTGCCAAGCGTCTGAATTTTGATCATGTAACCACGGGGATGCCCCAATGGTCATCAAGGGTGAGGAACGGTCGTAAGTCACTGTTCTCAGTGCTGTTATAATTTCGAACGGTCACTAAACAAACGGTTGAGACCGCCCAAAGACTAATCCGAAAACAGGGACTTAGGTTTGAAGTTGTGACACTGAAGCCTCCTTTGTCGTTGTGTTGTCACGGGCAATGTGGTAGCCTTTATGGCTGTCCCCAGTTTCCTACAGTCACATCACCGGGTTTTACAAGGCTTTGCTGAAAAGCAGCGCTTATTTCCTTCAAACTCTCACTCACAGCAAACCCTTGATTCACTTAACCAGAGATTTCGCTGAATGACGCCTGCAAAAAGGCTCGTAAAAGCGGGTTGGCCGCATAACTGAGCCATTTTATGACTTTACAACGTATGACCACATTGGGCACGCTCCGTGAAGGATGGTATGTCAAGCGCTGCCTGTACACAGCTTGGACATCTACACAAACACCGGCTGAGAGAACTCACCTTCAGGATGACGAAGCGCCCAGATATCACGAATCTTGTCAAAGGCTTCAAGTCCCTGATTAAAAGAGGACAACAAGGACAACATCAAGTAGAGTCCTGTGAGATGGGACTTGTAGTCCGATGCATAGTCATAATTATCTGTCCGCCCTTTGGAGCTCCTTAATGCCCTCCAAACATTAAGAGGCATCTGCAGAATCCATTGGTTTTGCCACACATTCCTCAACATAGCAGCCTTCCAATATCTGAGCGGCTGCAACAAAGAACTTATGTATTTATTTTATTTATTTATTTTTAAAATTTATAAACCGCCCCACTCCCGCAGGACTCTGGGCGGCTAACAATAAAAACAACATAAAACATGACAAAACAAACAGTGCAATAACAGTCATCCAGGGGTCAGATTTTATAAACCCCAGGCCTGCCGGAAAAGCCAGGTCTTAAGCAGCTTACGGAAAACCAACAGGGTGGGAGCGGTCCTAATCTCCGGGGGGAGCTGGTTCCAAGACGTGGGCGCCATCACAGAGAAAGCCCTCCCCCGCGGCCCCGCCAAACGGCACTGCTTGGCCGACAGGACCTGAAGGAGGCCCAGCCGGTGGGATCTAACTGGACGTAGGGAACTATGAGGTAATAGGCGGTCTCGCAAACTTATTTTCCAAAGCACCGGGACGCAGGAGAAGAAGCAACGGAGGGAAACTCATCAAGGACAGAAGCAACCTGCAACTAAGGAGAAATTTCCCTAACAGTGAGAACAATTAACCAGTGGAACAGCTGGCCTCCTGAAGTTGTGGGTGCTCCAAAACTGGAGGATTTTAAGAAGAGACTGGACAGCCCCTTGTGTGAAATGGTAGAGGGTTTCCTGCCTGAGCAGAGGGTTGGACTAGAAGACCTCCAAGGTCCCTTCCAACTCTGTTGTTCTGTATGCTAGAAACAACCCTGAGATGCTGAAGCACAACAGGGACACTGCAGATATCCCAAGAATATTAATAAAGACATTGGAGGTGTCATGAATCAAACAGCTCAATCTTTTAGGGAGCATTAACATCTTCAACACTGGAGTAAAAATTGCCAACAAAAAGTCCAACCAGCTCTTGAAGCTATGGGTTTTTAGTTTTTAGAGGGAGGGAGGGAGGGAGGGAGGGAGGGAGAAGAGAGATAGAGAGGAGGGAGGGAGGGAGGGAGGGCGGAAGGAGATGGGGAGGGAGGGAGGAAGAAAGAAGGGAAGAAGAGAAAAAGGAAAAGAGAGAAGGAAGAAAAACGGTGGGAGGGAGGGAGGAAGGAAGAAGAGAGATAGAGAGGAGGGAGGGAGGGAGGGAGGGCGGAAGGAGATGTGGAGGGAGGGAGGAAGAAAGAAGAGAGATAGAGAGGAGGGAGGGAGGGAGGAAGGACGGAAGGAGATGGGGAGGGAGGGAGGAAGAAAGAAGGGAAGACGAGAAGGTAGGAAAAGAGGAAAGAAGGAAGGAAAAGAGGGAGGGAGGGAGGAACCCCTACTGCGTCCTTCCTGTGCCTTCTCACACTCACCCCGAGCAAGTGTATCTTAGCAGGTGTGTCTCCACAGGTAAGCTTCACAGCATCCTCAAAGACAGTTTTGTTGGTCCGGGATAAGTGGGCCACCGTCCCCTCCACGCCGACCCCACTGACGTCACCTGTCGAAAAGAGAGCACCGCCTCAGTCCCGCCTAGCCAGACTCACCTGGAGCAACCAAAGGACAACTGGCTTCAAAGACTCACTTTCCTGCTTGTTCCCCACCAGCGTTTTCTTCCGGACTCCCTTGGAGACATCCAGAATGGTCGCGCCCACGTAAGCGATTTCGGAGCCAAAGCGAAAACTCTGCGGAAGCAAGAGGGGGAAGGAAAATGCAGCATCACTTGTTTTGCAGGGTCTTCGGTGAATGCCGCACTGATTAAGCAAACCAAAACTGGAAGTGCTGTTGTTTGGCAAATCCATTGTGACACTAACACACACGATAGATAGATAGATAGATAGATAGATAGATAGATAGATAGATAGATAGATAGATAGATAGATAGATAGATAGATAGATAGAGCGAGAGAGAGAGAGAATATGAAGTGTGTATCTTCTCCAATTGGAATTGCGAGATAGCTTTCAATTGGAACTGGAGAGGACCCACAATGAGATCCATGAACTGCTTGGAACTGAACCTTCTGGATCTTCAATCTACAGGTAACCCACAACTCCAAGTCAAGCATCCCAGCTAGTCTGCCATCCTGCCTTGACTTACCTGTGTCAGGTAAAAGATGTGGTCGTGAGGGATGTTGAAAACTGTGTTATTAGCACCACGGAAGAAGTAGATCTTTTGGTGTGGGTCTCCTACCAAGATCACACTACACTTTTGTGAGCGGACAATGTCTGCCATAGCTAGAGAAAGGAAAAAGAGAGATCTTTAGAAGCTTGATGTGGAAAGGAAGCCAAGGCCAACGTTGTCACAGGAACAAGACCCTCAAAAAGAGAGAGCGGCTTTAATGAACGGTGGATTTTAATTTTTTAATCTTTATCGTAAATGATGGGAACTGGAGTTTCCAAAACAGGAGAGGTTTGGAGGAAATCACAATATCCCAAACTCACAATTCATGGATCTTACAGAATTTCCCCTAATAGTTCCCTAATCAGTTTTTCAACCTTGGCAAGTTGACGGTATGTGGACTTCAACTCCCAGAATTCCCCAGCCTGCCTGCTTTAAGATGGGTAGACTTCAACTCCCAGAATTCCCCAGCCAGCATGGTTTAATTGTTTCTCACAACAATTATCGGATGCTTAATTGGGAGATGTGGCCTGCATTCCATGTACTTTTAATATCCTGCTTGATGCCATTTTAACCAGAGCTGGTTTTCTATTCATCAGTGCCGGTATGCTGTACTCAATAAAGTCTGCACTAGCGATTGGAGTGTCTCGGTTGTGCTTACTTCGTTGGGATCATCAGGCGGGATATTCACACCGGTTTCCCCATGGACTTTGCTTGTCAGAAGGTCGTAAAATGAGGACTACGTGACCCTCTGGGATACTGCGTGAATAGGAATCAGTTGCCAAACCTCCCAATTTTGATGACGTGACTGTGAGGATGATGCAACGGTCGTGAGAAAAAGGACCGTGTCCCTTTTTTCAGCGCTGTCGTAATGTCAAATGGTCACTAAGCAAAATGTCGTAAGTCGAGGACTACCTGTACTTGGAAAACTGAACCCAGCACCTACACCTCACTCACCGGGGGTGCAATTTTGGGCCTCATCCACCAAGATGACATCATAATCAGAAAGCGAAGGCTTCTGGAGTTGCCAAAGCTTCAAGTAACCTAAAAGACATAAGACCAACGCTTAAAATCAACACCAGTGCACAATAAAGCAACATTTGCGGCTTTGCGGTCTGGGACACCCGTGTTACAACAGAAACAGAGCCCACTATTTAAAAAGGAAGCCTGATGTTATATTTTCTTTGAATACAGGGTTTCCCAAGCTTGGCCACTTAAAGATGTGTGGACTTCAATTCCCAACACGCTGGCTGGGAAATTCCGGAGAGTTGAAGTCCACAAGTCTTAAACCGGCCAAGACAGGACTAGAATTCACCGTCTCCTGGTGACTGGCCCAAAGTCACTCAGCTGGATTGCATGCCTAAGGAAGGACTAGAACTCACTGTCTCCTGGTGATTGGCCCAAAGTCATCCAGTTGGCTTTCATTCCTAAGGCAGGACTATAACTCCCCATCTCCTGGTGATTGGCCCAAAGTCACCAGCTGGCTTTCCTTGAAGTCCACAAGTCTTAAACTGGCCAAAAAAGGACTAGAACTCACCGTCTCCTGGTGATTGGCCCAAAGTCACCCAGTTGGCTTTCTTGCCTAAGGTGGAACTATAACTCCCCGTCTCCTGGTGATTGGCCCAAAGTCAGCCAGCCGAATTGCATTCCTAAGGCAGGACTATAACTCCCCATCTCCTGGTGATTGGCCCAAAGTCACCCAGCCAGCATTCATGGCTACAGTACTAGAATTCACCGTCTCTGGTGATTAGTTCAAAGGCACCCAGCCAGCTTTCATTCCTAAGGTGGGATTTGAACTCACTGTCTTCTAGTGATTGGTCCATAGTCACCAGCTGGCTTTCATGCTTTAAGGAGGGACTAGAACTCACCATCTCCTGGTGATTACTCCCAAGTCACACAGCCAACTTTCATTCCTGAGGTGGAACTGGAACTCACTGTCACCTAATAATTGGCCCAAAGTCACCACGCTGGTTTTCGTTCCTAAGGTGGGAGTAGAACTCACCATCTCCTGGTGATTGGCCCAAAGTCACCCAGCTGGCATTTTGCCTAAGAACTAGAATTTCCCTCCATGAAAAAAACTGCCCCTTTATTCTTATTTTTTTCTTCCTCTTTCTTCAGCAGAGCTAAATGCAACCAGAGCTAAATGAAACCTCACATATCCCACCTACCTTCATGCGTTATTCGGTGAGCCATTTCCCCAGTTGGGCTCAGCGTCTGCATCTCCCTCCATATTTCTTTTGCTTCTTCAACAATGATCTAGAAAGCAAAAGCTGGTAAGTAGATCTTGCCAGACAAGATCAGATCCGAGGCTTTCTCATCCAGGCTGCCCAGAGACCTTGAAGGAGAAGGACGGTCTGGATCCACAGGTAGTCCTCTTCTTACGACCACAATTGAGCCCCAAATTTCCATTGCTGAGCAACACTGTTGTTTAAATGAGTTTTGCCCCATTTTACAACCTTTCTTGACACAGTTGTTAAATGAATCGCTGCAGTTGTTAAGTTCATCACACAGTTGCAATAGGGGCAAATAGGTGTAGGATGAGGGTGAAGGTTTGTTCTCCGAGCTTGTAGGTTGGTTTCCGAACGTTTCATTACAAGGCTAGGTAACATCTTCAGCGGAGTGGAGGGGATGTCCGTGTTCCTCTGTTGATAAGGTGTGGGTGTGTCGAGTGAGGGTTGTGATGGGTCAGGTGTGAGTCATCAATGAGAGGCTTGGGTGTTGTGACAGGGAGGTGGAACAATTGATTGGAGCAACACACAAATCATCAGCCACGCCACCACCCGCCAGGCACATGAGTTTTTCGAAGCCTGGCACTCCACCAGCAATTCCATCCACAGACACATCAACCTACAACTGGCCTTCGCACCCCTCAGAATCCAAATCAACCACACAGCCAACCGGGGACGACACCGATCCTCAACCATCCCGCGCAATCCCCCACTACCAGTAATTCACCTCCCAAGGATCCTGACCTGACGTAACCTCCCCATGGCGAGACCCATCACTAGCCTCTCACTGATGACTCACACCTGACCCATCACAAGACCCTCACTCGACACACCCATACTTGAAGCCCTTATCAACAAAAGAACAGCGACACTGACATCCCCTCAACTCCACTGAAGACGTTACCTAGCCCGGTAACAAAAAGTTTGGAAACCAACCCACAAGCTCAGAGAACCAACCTCCACCCTGAATCTGGCTTCCCCATTGGTTTTGCTTGTCAGTAGGTTGCAAAAGGGGATCACGTGACCCAAGGACCCTGCAACTGTCAGAAATACGAATCAGGTGCCAAGCATCTGAATTTTGATCGCGTGACCATGGGGATGCTGCAAAGGTCATGTTTGTGAAAAATGATCCAAAGTTATTTTTTTCAGTACTGTTGTAACTTCGGTCACTAAAGAAACAGTTGTAAGTCAAGGAGTAAACCTGTACCTGACATAGCTCCTCAGCACCAAATCCATACTTCTCGCAGTTGTTCTTGCACCATTTGGGCATGTGGTGCACAGTGATAGAGCCATCCGCCGAAGCGAAAAAAGCAGCGAGGGTCTGAACAATCATCTTGGCTATGAACGGAGGCTTTTCCTGGCAATTGGATTGGAGAAAGCTGACCACATAGGACGTCAACAAGCAGCAGTCAAGTTCCCTTCCGTAACTGCAGCCAAATGAAAGAGGGGAGGTGGAATTAATCCTGGTGATTCATCTCTGCTTATTTGGGTGTTAATTGTTGGCAAGGAAGTCTATTGATCTGTTTCCTTTTTGGCTTTTGGATTATCTGTTTTCAATGGTATGTAGTTGTTGTTTATCTCAATGTGCCTGTTGATGGCTGATTTTTTTTTTTCAGAGTGCCAGGAATTCTCTGCCATTTTAGATAGCACTGATGATGTTACCTACTTGGGTTCATGAAACGTCTGCAACCAAAGAGCCAAGCTCAGAGAGCAGCAAGGACCCCAGAGTCCATATTAATTTCTGGGATGTGGGCAGTATGCCTTAAATCGCAATTTGGTGGGAAAAGAACATCTGTTACTCACCTCGAATTGAAGTGAATCACTCTTTCATGAATTCTCCTGACAGAGAGAACAATTAATCGGTGGGATGGCTTGCCTCCAGAAGTTGTGGATGCTCCAACACCGGCGGTGTTTAAGAAGAGATTTGACAACTGTTTGTCTGAAATGTTATAGGGTCTCCTGCCTCAGCAGGGGATTGGACTAGAAGACCTCCAAGGTCCCTTCTAATTCTATAATTCTGTTCACAATCCTTCCAGCAACAGAGAGACCTATTTTATTTCACAAATGTCTTAAGAAACCATTTCAAAATAATAAATTGTTTTATTGCTGGTTTGTTGGGATCTTATCAGCTCTTTGGTTTTATTTTTTGGGAGTTACCTTTCTTTTTCATTATGTTATACCTCACCACATCACTGTTTTTTAAAACCAGGGCCGATTCATTAAATAGGAGGCAGCTACTTACAATTTTTCTAGGGCTTCCTTAGCTAAGGAGTGGAAGGTTTCACAGGTGACGTTCTCAGGGAAAAGCTGCTTCGCCTGTTCTCGGACGGAACTGTTGAATGGCAAGTACAAGAACTTAAGCTCGGGCCATTTCTTGGTGTACTGGATCAGTGTGTACGTTTTCCCGGTGCCTGTGTGAAAAATTAAAAACATTTCAGTCCTTCCAGGTTGTTATTTCCTAGCCAGGTTCCTTCCAGATAGCCAGGATGGCAGAAAAAAAAAAAATCCCCAGGACTTTGCAGGTGGAAGATGTGAAGCTTCCATGTCTACAGATGAAATTAAGCAAGGTGGATAAAATCCAGGACTAACAGATCTAATAGATCCCTTCCGATGAGAAGGAACCAAGTCATTAAGGAAACAAGGGGGAAAAAAGTCACTTGAACCAGACAAAAACAAAATGGGGTTCTCAGCAGAGGGAGAGGCCCCCTGTGCAAATCCCATCAACAGCTATCAGACTTGAAAATCAACAAGGCAATACAGGCAGTCCTCGACTTACGACCACAATTGTGCCCCAAATTTTCGTTGCTAAGTGAAACATTTCTTAGGTAATTTTTGCCCCATTTTACAACCTTTCTTGGCACAGTGGTTAAGTGAATCACTGCGGTTGTTAATTTAGTAACATGGTTGTTAAGTGAATCTGGTTTCCACGCTGAGTCTGCTGGTCAGGAGGTCGCAAAAGGGATCCCGTGACCCTGAGGACACTGCAACGGTCATAAATAGGAGTCAGTTCCCATGCGTCTGAATTTTGATCACGTGACCGTGGGGATGCTGCAAAGGCTGTAAGTCTGAAAAGGAGTCGTAAATCCCTTTTTTCCATGTCACTGTAACTCTGAACGGTCACCAGTAGCTGCCGGTCTTGTCAATCTACAAAGAAAGCCCACCCATTCTGCCAGCCTAGTGGATAAGTGTATATGAGTCTTTGTGTGTGTGTGTGTGTGTGTGTGAGAGAGAGAGAGAGAGAGAGAGAGAGAGAGAGAGAGAGAATGAGAGAGAGACAGAAAGAGTGCAAATGTATGGATGGAGGAGAATATTTGTAGCTCACAGTTGAACTGCTGGGTTCTAGATAGCTCCGAGTTTGGTCATTTTCTTACATTCATTTCATGACCCAACTAGGTAACATCATCAGTGCTTGAAGGGAGCGCGGTTTGAGGAGGAGGAGGAGGACGACTGTGGCATCCTTGGTGTTCAGTTGGTTGTTTTCTTGCAGACATTTTATAACTGAACTAGATAACATCATCAATGCTACAAGGGAGAGGTCTTTGGAGAATGGAGAAGGATTGTGGGGTCCTTGGTGCTCTCTGAGCTTGGTTGTTTTCTTGCAGACATTTCATGAGCCAACTAGATCACATCATCAGTGCTAGAAGGCTTGTACTAAAAGGCTTCTAAGTACTGATAATGTTCCCTGGTTGGGTCATGAAACATCTGCAAGAAAACCGCCCAGCTCAGACAGCAACAAGGACCCCCCACAATCCAACCATGAGCTACAAATATTCTCTTCTATCGGTAACACTACAATCTCCATTTTTTTAAAAAAAAATATATTTTTCCTTTTTTCCACTGTACAACAAAAATAAAACTGAAAAAATACATTTTTCCCTTAACAAAACTGTGCTATACATCTCCTATATATTATTTACAATTTATTTACATCAGTAATCATGTCTTTTTCTTTCTTTGTTCTAGCCAATCATAATATTTGTTCCATATTTCATAAAATTCTGTGGCCTCCTTGTCTTTTAATTCTAGCATACGTTTATTCATTTCCGCGCATTCAAGAATTTTGTATATTATCATATCGTTTGTAGGTATGTTTTCCCCCTTCCAACATTGAGCATATACTATACGGGCTGCTGTCAATATAGGTATAATGATGTGTTGGAGTTGCTTTTTGATCTTTAAATTTATTATACCCAGGCGAAATAGTTCAGGTTTGAATTCAATTTGCACCTTGGTTATCTGCTGTATCCAGTTCCCTATCTTTTCCTTGCTTTGGGGCACAGCCACCACATGTGATAGAATGTTCCTTCCTTATTTTTACATTTCCAGCATTCCGGATTCATATTTTTGTACATTTTGGCCAATCTCGCCGGTGTTAAATGCCATCTATAGAACATTTTGTATCGATTTTCCCTATATGCTGTTGACAGTGTCACTTTGCAATTTATGTTCCATAATCTTTCCCATTCTTCCAGATTTATATTTCGGCCCACATTTCTCGCCATGTGATCATTGGCCCTTTCACTATTTCTTCCTCCAGATCTTCCCTCCAAATTTCATGTCCTCAATCTGTTGGAACATAAATTGCCAACTAAGTCTATCAAATGCTTTCTGTGCATCCCAAAAAATTAATGCTGTTTTCCCGGATGTGCTTCGTAAAACTCTAAGACATTTAACACCGTTCTCGTATTATTTCTAATTTGTCTTGTAGGTAAAAAGCCATTTTGATCTGTATTATCTCCTGTAATATTAGTTTCAATCTTTCTGCCACTATAGTAGTGAAAATTTTATAATCAGAATTTAGCAACGAGATTGGCCTATAATTTTTGATCTGTTTGGGATCTGTGCCTTCTTTTGGGATCAGGGATATGGTAACTTCTATCCAGGAGTCTGGTATTTTAGCTGTCTCCAACACATCATTATACACGTTCAACAGTATCTTTTCAAAGTCCTCGTAAAGAGTCTTGTATACTTCCCCTTGGAGGCCATCTGGCCCAGGGGTTTTATTATTTTTTTGGTTTTGCACAGCAGTTTTTAATTCCAAGGCTGTTACAGTATTTTCCCATTCAAAATTTCTCTCTGTCCTTCTTTTAATTCTGGCAGACCCTTCGCCTTTAAATATTGTTGAATGTTCTCTTCATCTATCTCCTCTTTTTTATATAATGATTCAAAATAGTTCTGGATTATTTCTTTCTTTTTATCCATTTTGTATTGTGGCTCTCCATTCTTGTCGTGTAATTCCTGAATAATTCTTTTCTCTTTCTCTTTTTTTAGTTTATAAGAAAGCCATCTCCCGGATTTATTTGCGTGTTCAAAGAAATTTTGTTTTGCTATTTTCAATTCTTTTGTTCTTTCCTCTTGATCTATCATACTTAATTTATGTTTAGCCAAAACCATTTCCATTTTAATCAATTCATCTTGGGGCTCTTTTTGTAATTTAGATTCCAATTTTTTAATCTCTTCCTGGAGTATATTTTGTGTTTTTCTTTTCACCTTGTTTTTTCTTGCTGTGTAAGCTATTGCCAATCCTCTTAAATATGCTTTCGCAGTGTCGCAAATAATTTGTACTGATGATTGTTGGTTTATATTCTCCTTAAAAAAAATCCATTTCCCTTTTACTCCTTGCTATAAATTCTTTTTCTTTCAAAATGTGAGAGTTCATTATCCATCTTCTCCTTACTCTTTTCTGCCCCTTCCAAATTATTTGTAAAGGATTATGATCAGCCCATGTTTGGCATTATTTCTATTGTCTCAATGTCTTGACCTACTTCTTCATTGGTCCATGCCATGTCTATGCGAGACCAAGATTTATGTGGGTTTGAAAAGAATGTGTATTCTTTTTTTGTTGGATTCCGCTTCCTCCATTGATCTGATAAATTGAATTCATGGGCCAAATCAAAAAATGTCTCTGGTAGTGTTTTCTTTTTCTTTTTTGTACCACTAATATAGTCTTTTTTTACATCCACTATCGCATTGTAATCTCCTACTATACTGTTAGAGAATTTTAATTTCTCTATTGGTAAAAAAATAAATAAATCAGAAGCTCTCACAGTTGACTGCATTTAGCTGATTCAAAATAACTTCTTTATATTTATATAAAAATATTTACAATACCATACATTCTTCTTTACAGCAACATAGCTCAATTGAAGACTTCTTACAGAGAGATACAGAGGCAAACCGAGACTGGAAATCCAGCTCCTAACTCAATACTCTTTTGCACAGACTCAGTAGCACTTTCTTCACATTGGCTGACTGAGTTACCACATGACTCTTCCTGCTCATGAATATTCCAACACTCCTCCCTTCATGACAGGAAGAGACATCAGAGCTATTGACTTAATACATTTTCCATAGTGAACACCACCCAATGGTTTAGTCATCATGTCTGCCAAATTATCCTCAGAAGAACGATGTAAACTAATCAATTTTCCTTTTACAGCTTCCCTGACATTACAATACTTAATGTCTACATGTTTACTTCTGTTCTTCACCCTGCCACCAGTTGCCATTTTTATACAGGCAGCATTGTCTTCAAATACCATTACAGATTCTTTTACATTAATATTTAAATCTTGCAACCACTGTACATCATTATTTGGCAATACCTTTTTCTTATATACCCACTTACAACCCACAGCTTTGGTTCCCTGTGGCAAAGTCACTGATTTAAATACTTCATGGTCTCCCATGGATTTCATCTCTTTATCCATGGCCTCCTTCCATCTTTCTTCATCAGCTTTTGGTAATGCCAACACTTCTTTATAACTTCTTGGCTCATACCACACATTGCAAACTTTTACCTTGCTGGCAGAATACCTGTCAGGCGGAATTCCTTTATTACATCGCTCTGACCTACATGGTATTAACTGCTACTGTGTCTCAAGTCTTTCTGGCTTCATGTCTTGTTCAGCCTCTCCTCCCTGAACTTTGACATCTTCAATAATAATTTTTTTATCATTAGATGAGTTATTGTCATTAAATAGATCACCGTCATTAAGTGAGACATAACCAGAATTTGCATTAATTCTGTCTCAATTTTGTTCTGCAAAATTAGCAGACCTTGAAATTACAATTCTTTTACTTCCATCGCTAAAGCGATATCCTTTTGACCCTGGCTCATAGCCCACAAACCTGAGCTTTCTTGCCTTTTGCTATCCCTTTCTTCTGATTGTCTTTGGAATATGTACCCATGCAATACTTCCCAAAATTCTCAAATGTGCCAGTGATGGCTTTCTCCCATATAGAATGGCATATGGAATATTATTAATGGAGGAACTCCACAGCCTGTTAACTATATAATTGGCAGTCAATATGGCTTCTCCCCAATATGACCTGCTCATACCAGAATCCTCTAATAATGAATCTTTCATTGTTTGCAAAACACTATTCCTTCTTTCAGCTGCTGTGTAAGGATTCTCTGCTGCTGTGTAAGGATTTGTATGTATGTGTCTTATCCCCAACTGTCCCAACCATTGTTGGAATTTAGTTGACATAAATTCAGTACCTCTGTCAGTTTGCAACTGACACACTTGTTGTCTGTACCTTCTCTCTACAAAACTTACCCACTGTTTGAATTGTTGTAGCATCTCTGTCTTTGCTCTAAGCAAGTAGCAAAAACTATACCTCCTATAATCATCAATTACCAGCGCATATTTTGCTCCTCCCAAACTGGCTTGCATAGGTCCCACCAGATCTGCATGGACCAGCTCTAGAACTCTTTTTGTTTGTCTTGTGCTATATTTACTAACTGGGAATGCCTTTGACTTCGATGCTTTGCATACTGCACAGTCCAAATATGTTTTGCATCCCTTCAAATTTAGCCCTTCTGCAAAATCTTGCATTTGCTGCAAAACTTTAAAGCTTGCATGGCCAAGTCTTCTATGTAGAAGATGAACACATGAATCGTGCTCTGCAACATTCTTAAACATATGGGAACATTGAACCTTTTGTCTCTGTAATACATATAGATTATCTTCCTTTATGCCTTCTGCACAAATATTCCCATTCCTTTTGATGAGACACTTCCCATTTACAAAAATGACCTCAAAACCTTGTTTGTCTAAATTAGACACACTTAACAAATTATGTTCCATCTCAGGTACACAAAGCACATTGGTAAACTTTGATTCCAAATATGGAATTTGTACATCGCCTTTTCCGATGAATTTTGCTTGCTGGCCATTTGACAAAGCCACAGCTTCTTGTGCTACTGGAACAAACCTGCAAAATAATTCATTAACAATTGTTTGACTTGCCCCACTATCTATTAGCCACTTGTCTCTTTTGTTGCTATTGCAAACTTTTGCAACACCAAAATGTTCCTTTTGCAAATCAGTCCTTTTTCCTTGCACAAATGTCCTTTGCTGCAAATTGTTCCTCTGCAAACAGTTCCTTTTCAGATGGTTGTTTGCTCCACAAATGTAGCAATATTTTTCTTGCTTAGCTCTCTGCCTGCAAAATGTTTCTTCTTTGGAGACTTGCAGTCTGGACCCCCACCTCAGGAATTTCACCTCCTCGTGGCTGCTTCTAAAATGGTACTTTTCTTGTTCATTAAGCAAACATGCCTTAAAGCCTCAAAATTTAAGTCTTGCTCTTCTTTACACTCAAATATAGCAGAAACTGCGTCCCAGGTTTTATCTAAACTGTTCAACACCAATACAACCTTCTGGGACTCAGGGAATTTAATCCCACGTTGTTCTAAATCCAAAAATAAACTTTGCATTTTATTTAAATGCTGTTCCACAAATTCACCTGGTTGCAAACAGGCCCTGTAAAGTTTTCTTGACAATTGCACTATATTGCATGCAGAAACATTCATGTGCACAGCTCTCAACTTCAACCAAATCTCCTTTCCAGTCTTTAAATTTGTAACATTTAGAAATTGTTCATCATCTAAATTCAAGATGAGATAAGCCATTGCTTGATCATGACTCTTCTGATCAGTAGCTGCAAATACTTGTGGTGGATTTTCTACAATATACCACAGCTCTTTTGCTTTGAGCAAACATTCCATTTTTGCAGCCCATGTAATGTAATTCTTCTGGCTTAAACGAGGCACAGAGCTTTCCTTAAATTCCATTGCAGCCATCCTGCTAATTCTGCCTTGTTCTTATACTTTCTAAACACAGGCAGTTTCTTCCAGCTTTAAATTACAATGCAGTCCTTAGTAAGCTCTGGGCACATAACCTGTTAGAGCAGTGGTTCTCAACCTTTCTAATGCCATGACCCCGTAATACAGTTCCCCATGTTGTGGTGACCCCCAAGTGGGTGTGGCCACCAATAAGAGGGAGTAGGACAGCTAGGGAAAAGGGGAAAAAAATGGCGGACAGCGTGGTTTGGCGACCCCCGTGAAATGGTCATTCGACCCCAAATGGGGTCCCGACCCACAGGTTGAGAACCACTGTGTTAGAGAATTTTAATTTCTCTATTGGTAAAAAAAAAAAAAAAACCAGAAGCTCTCACAGTTGACTGCATTTAGCTGATTCAAAATAACTTCTTTATATTTATATAAAAATATTTACAATACCATACATTCTTCTTTACAACATAGCTCAATTGAAGACTTCTTACAGAGAGATACAGACACAAAACCTGAGACTGGAAATCCAGCTCCTAACTCAATACTCTTTTGCAGACTCAGTAGCACTTTCTTCACATTGGCTGACTGAGTTACCACATGACTCTTCCTGCTCATGAATATTCCAACATATACAAATATTTCCCTGTCCAAATTCTATAAGTTTCTCGTGTAATTTGTAGAAAAATTCTTTTTGGTTCTCATTTGGTGCACATATTACCACTAGCAACCATGATTTATGTTCGGTTTGTATTTCTATTGCTAATATTCTTCCATCTCTATCTTGATATTTCAATTTGGCATTAATTTCTTTTCTAATATAAACCACTAATCCTCTCTGTTTTTGTTCAGCTAATGCTGTGTATAATACTCCTAATCTGGGAAACTCTAAATATTTCCTATGTTGTTCTTTTCCTTCCCAAGTATTCTCCCTTCACTTCTCTCGTCTCACCGGCTCCACCAATACCACCTTCACCTCAGCCTCTCAGCTTTTCCTTCTTTAATCCTCCACCGTCTTCCTTGTATTTGCGCTCAAACCTTTACCACAATCTCCCTATAAGGGTGGAGAAGAACCGTAGCAGCCTACATCACCAGCAAGGATAATATTGTTGTAAATAGCAAGAGATCTTTGGAGGAAGTCGGGAAAGCTGGTGAAATGAAGATCCGGGCAAGGTTATCTCAGTTCTCAGGATATACAACGATCAGTAAATTTGCACCTACAGAGAGAATCAAGTATCTCCTGGGCTGGGGCTGCCTTACCTGCAAAAGCCTCAATTTTTACCCTCTCTCCAGGTTTTTTAAAGGCGTGGTTCAAGATCTGTTGTTGTTCTCTGGTAGGCTTTAAGTCAGTCCTGTTGATGAACAGAAGCAGAAAAAAGTAAAAAGCTAACATAGGTAACCAGGTGTTTTTTGCAACATAGCAAACGGGGTCTAACAGTTGCATCTTTAAGATGGGTGGACTTCAACTCCCAGAATTCCCCAGTCAGCATTTGCTGGCTGGGGAATTCTGGGAGTGACGTCCATGCAGCTTAAAGTTGTCACGGTTGGGAAACATTGGGCTAAATTATTCCCCGGTTCTCCTGGGAAAACTTATACAGGTAGTCCTCAACTTACAACAGTTCATTTAGTGACTGTTCAAAGTTACAATGGCACTGAAAAAAAAGTGACTTATGACCGTGTTTCAAACGTACGACCTTTATAGCATCCCCATGGCCACACGATTAAAATTCAGATGCTTGGCAACTGACTCATAATTTATGGCGGTCGCAGTGCATCGAGGTGACGTGATCCCCTTTTGCGACCTTCTGACAAGCAAAGTCAATGGGGAAGCCAGATTCACTTAACGACTGCATGACTTGCTTAACAACTGCAGTGGTTCACGTGACAGCGGTGGCGAGAAAGGTTGCAAAATGGGGCCAAACTGACTTACCAACTGTCTCGCTTAGCAACGGAAACTTTGGGCTCAGTTGTGGTCGTTAAGTCGAGGACTACCTGTACATGTTTGCAAACCTTATGTAAAGTCCCCATTGTTAATACAGGTAGTCCTCAACTTACGACAATTGAGCACAACATTTCTGTTGTTAACATTTGTTAGGTGTCTTTTTCCCCATCTTATGGCCTTTCCTGCCACGATTGTTAAGTGAATCACTTCAGTTGTTAAGTTAGTAACACAGTCGTTAAAAGAATCTGGCTTCCCCCATTGACTTTTCTTATCAGAAGATCGTAAAAAGGGATCACATGAGCCCAGGACGCTGCAACCGTCATAAATATGAATCAGTTGCCAAGCCTCTGAATTTCGACCATGTGACCATGGGGAGGCTGCAACGGTCGTGTGAAAAATGGCCATAGGTCACTTTTTTCCAGTGCCGTTGTAACTTTGAAGGGTCACCAAGCGAACTGCTGTAAGTCGAGGACTCTCTGTATCGAGACACAAAGTTAACGTACGTACCTACAATCCAGTAATTCAGGGTTGGAGTCCTTATAGGGCCAATTCTCCACGATACGCAAATAATAAAAAACATTGTAATAAAACCTAGGATAGGGAAAATGAGAAACGTTATAATGAATCTCAAAGTAAACTCTAAACTATATAAAATCCAGGAAAAATAATTCAGAGAGGAGAATTAAACACACCTCTGCGGATTTCTGCTTTAAGGAACCAACCCTTGAAATCAGCAGTATCTGTTTGCAGATGCGTGAGAAAGCCTGAGCAAAGTTGCAACTGATTTAATGAGTAGAAGTGTTGCTTTTGGTTATTGATAACCCACCTGAATTGTTTTTGCACATAACTCAAGGGGACGAATGTATCCAATACAGCTTCCTCCTCCTACTTTTCCCACAAAAACAACCCTCTGAGGTGCGTTGGGCTGAGAGACAGACAGACAAGACTAAAGACACCCAGCCAGCTTTCATGCCTAAGGCAGAACTAGAACTCACAGTCTCCTGCTGATTGGCCCAGAGTCACCCAGTTGGCTTTTATGCCTATGGCAGGACTAGAAATCACCGTCTCCTGCTTTCTAGCTTGGTGCCTTAACCGCTAGACCAAATCGGCTCTCATGCTAGATCCAAAGTGCTTTTTCTGAACCATTTTTAAATGCACACAAAGCCCTGCCAAAGATGTATTTCTACTTTTACTACTGCCATAAAAGACAGGTTTCCGTGCTAAGTGTCTCTCCTGATCCTTTGCAAACTGACCTGTTGCTGATCTCAACCCCATTCTCTCGCATGGCATAAAAGAGGGTGGCCATGCAGTACAACATTTCATTGATGTCCATCCGCCACCTGTGAGAGGTGAGCCTTTGGAGGCAGCCCACCAGCTTCTGAATATCGCAAACACCTCCAGCGAAGAGCACAATGGCCGCCATCACTGCCCGAACATAGGCCGCCTGGAAGAACATGGTTGGGATCATTATCGGGGTGGGGGCAACCTGTTGAGTCTCACAGGTTGTATTTTCTGTCCTGTCTGGCAGGGGAACAAGGTAAATGGTGCAAATAGTCCTGAATTTGCAACTATTCAAGGAATGTGGAGTCCTTGGTGCTCTCTGAGCTTGGTGGTCTTCTTGCAGACGTTTCATCACCCAACAAGAGAACATCATCAGTGCTATAAGGAAGTGGGGTCTGCACGGAGGAAGAGGAGGAGGTTATTATTATTATTATTATAAAAGGAAATGGGTTTGCAGGGAAGAGGAGGAGGAGGACTATGAGGTCCTTGGTGTTTGGAAGCCTGGCATTCATATAAATCACTAAATGATCACTAAATGAATGGTTGCTAGAACTCTCTCGTCTTGGAATCCAGTGCCTTTTGAATGACCATCCAATCCAAATTCTGAGCAAGACAACAAATCTCCCAGGGGAAACACCATCAAAACATGCCCAAAGATCAATTCCAGATAAAGTGTTTAAGCCTGCCGAGACATACTTTCTCTTTGCAACTCTCCAAATCTGGAAGATTCTTCGCGATGCAGATTTGCGCCTTGGGAAACAGCGAGTGGCGTTCCAGACACGCGAGGATAGCGGTAGGATCTTGGCATTGGCAGCTCTGAACAGCAGCCGCACACCTGGATTGGGAAGAGAAACATGGAGAGATGACGGCTTTCTCTACAGACATGGATTTCTTCCCCAGTTCAACTCCTTTTTGTCATTTTAGCAAGTTGGCAATTCCTAGATAGTAGTAGTAGTAGTAATAATAAAGTTGGAAGGGAGCTTGGAGGTCATCTACTCCAAATAGGAGTAGACGACCTCCTAATAGGAGTGAAAAGATTGCAGCAGGGGTCCTCAATCTCCAGGCCAAGGCCCACTACTATTGAAACGTGGGAAAGCGTGCATGTCTGAAGCTCCACTCATGTGAGCGGAAGGGGCTTGCACTTGTGCGCAAAACTATTACTGGGAGAAGGCGCTTACACTCAGGTGGGTGAAGCATTCATGCGCTCCCACAAGTGCCCTCTGCTTGCACTGCAGGTTGCGGCTTGCACAAATGGAGCTTCGTGCATGAGCGCAAGCATCCTCTGCTCATGTGCGAAGCTCCATTTGTGTGAGTGGAGGGTGGGTGAGCCGCTCGGAAAAATGGAGCGGTGGGCGTGCGCCTGCCACTCACAGATCTGCCCCCACAGCACCAGGTCAGGCTCCCAGCTGGAAAGCTTGGGGATGGCTGGGTTACAGGGAGTCCTCGAGGTCGTGTGGCTTCTTGGGAAGAGAGTCCGGGTGATCTCCGTTAAAGATACGCGTTCATTCAGCTGAGCAAAGGTGGGTCCTTTCATAAGAGTGGGAGAACACTCAACGCAGTCTGAAGCCCTTATATGCAGATTTCTTATCTTTACTTGGTTACATAAGCCAGCTCACCGTTGATAAGGCGCACGGGGTCCTCAACGTGTGGCCACAACTGAGCCCACAATTTATGTTGCTATGCTAAGTGAGAAATGTGTTAAGAGAGTTTTGCCCCATTTTATGACATTCTCACTTTTGTTAAGAGAACCGCTGCAGTTGCTAAATTAGTAACACGGTCGTTAAGCGAATCCAGCTTCCTCATTGACTTTGCTTGTCAGAAGGTCGCAAAAGGGGATCACGTGATCCCGAGATGCTGCGGCCGTCATAAATATGGGTCAGTTGGCAAGAGTCCAAATTTGGATCAAATGACCACAGGGGTGCTACAAAGGTCGTAAGTGTGAAAAATGGTCATAAGTTCCTTTTTTCTGTGCCGCTGTAACTCTGAATGGTCAGTAAATGAGCTGCTGTAAGTTGGGGACTACCTGTGCAGGTGTATTCAGACCCCTGGCAGATCCAGGGGTGCAAGAGAGAGGGGCACAGAGGGCGTCAGTCCACAGAGGGGCTGAGAGTCACACGCGACTGAATGGCTGACTAGGATGACGAGTCCTCGACTTACAACAATTTGTTTGGTTGCCCTTTGAAGTTACAACACCACTGAAAAAAGTGACTTAGGACCATTTTTCACACTTACGACTGATTGCAGCAGCCCCGGGGTCACATCATCCAAATTCAGAGGCTTGGCAATTGACTCACATTTATGACGGTTGCTGTGCCCCGGGGTCACGTGATCCCCTCTTGCGACCTTCTGACAAGCGAACTCCATGGGGAAGCCAGTTTCACTTCACAACCGAGTTGCTAACTTAATTGCATTGACTCGCTTAAGAACCGTGGCAAGGAAGGTCGTAACGTCACGACTGTCTTGCATAGCAACGGAAATTTGTGGCTCAATTGCGACGGTCAGTCGAGGACTACCTATATCAGGATACCTGTTTAACTAAAGCAAAAGAGAGGATTTGTGGTTGTGTTACTGAAAACCACTCACCGAATTAATCCAGGCATGCATCTGGGGTGATTCTTGGTTAGGCCGTACAATTGCAGAATGTCTCGGACAGCCCAGAAGGCTTGGAAGCTTCCCTCCAAATACAGATTGTACACCACCGTCCAAGAAATGAATTCCTGAACAAAACATTGGATATTGTTTTTTTTCTTAGATTTTTTTTCTTAAATCCCACTTTTAATGTTTTTATATGCCCCGAATGGAGTCAGGTTCACTTTTGACTGGGCACAATCTTCGCTTGAGGGACTGAACTTTTAGAAGCATTCCTGCTCTTGGATTAGATTAGAAATTAAATTTTCTTTGGGATTGTTTCGATTCATAAAAAGCAAGATGAACACCTTAGAAAACAGGAGATTTGTCTTCAAGAACAGAAGACGTGTGGTGCAATTCTGAACATTACCTATCTCCCCATAATTCAGTGTTTGCAGCATTGTTTCGTTAATCATTTCCAAAGTGTTAGCAGATACCTCTTAGATCAACCATAGAGGAGCTGCCAAATGACCACCTTCAGGAGATCTTTGCCCTGGTGCCTGTAGTTGATCTTCTCCAAAACCTCTCTCGGCTGGGTCAGTACTGGAAGCTTTTCATCTCTGCCATGAAGGTAAGCGATGCCTTTATCTCGTCTTCCAATATTTGAGGGGCTGCCACAAAGCAGAGGGAGTCAACCTATTCTCCAAAGCAAAAGTGCCCACAGAATGACACAACAGGTTGATTAAAGCATCAATCACACCATCGTGACCACCATACTGACTTTCTCATCAGTGTGGACACTACTAGTTTTATGTCTGATACTCTGAGGGGTCCTTACTCTTGTTTTACACCGGCTGGAATGTATATGCTTGATTGTCTTCCTCTGATTAAAACGATCTATCTGATGTGATCTACTGTGGCTAACGAAGAGTCTAACAAAGAGAAAGACTAGGAGTGACATGATATCAGTCTTCCAATCTCTCATGGGCTGCCCCAAAGAAGAGGGAGTCAAGCTGTTCTCCAAAGGGCCTGAAGGCAGGACAAGAAGCAATGGATGGAAACTCATCAAGGAGAGAAGCAACCTGGAACTAAGGAGAAACTTCCTGACAGTGGGAACAATTAACCAGTGGAACAACCTGCCTCCAGAAGCGGTGAATGCTCCAACACTGGAAATTTTTAAGAAACTGGACAGCCATTTGTCTGAAATGGTATACAGGGTTTCCTGCCTGAGCAAGGGGTTGGAATAGATGACCTCCAAGGTCCCTTCCAAGTGTGTTATTCACAGGAGGATTGACAGGACCCAGTGCAGATTCAGTCTCCCTTGCAAAGTTTTCTCCATGGTCTAACCCAGCGGTTCTCAACCTATGGGTCGCGACCCTATTTGGGGTCGAACGACCATTTTACGGGGGTCGCGAAACAACGCGATCCGCCATTTTTCCCCCTCAGGGGGCGGCCCCGTGCATGTGCGCCGCGTCCGTGTGACGGGGGTCGCCGTCACACGAAGATTGAGAACCACTGGTCTAACCATAGACAAGAACATAACCCTGTTTAAAATCCCCTTGTGTTTACAGAATAACAGAGTTGACGGGACCTTGGAGGTCTTCTAGTCCAACCCCCTGCTCAGGCAGGAAACCCTATACCAGTGGTGGCAAACCTATGGCACGGGTGCCAGAGGTGGCACTCAGAGCCCTCTCTGTGGGCATGCGTGCTGTCACCCCAGTCCTAGGCTTTCAGCTGGGTTTTATAAAAACTTTTCGTTTTAGGCCTCCGCCACCGTGTGCAAAAAAAGAAAAAAAAAAGAAAAAAGTTCAATCAGTCAATTTCAACTTCTTGCGGGGGAAAAAAAAAGATCTTGCAAAGTTGGAATTGATTGATTGAGCTTTTTAGTCCCACCCAGTCTGCCGTTACCACCACAGCCATGCTCACCCAATGGGCCACGCCCACCCAATGGGCCACACCCACCCGGCACTCAACGATGCATAAGTGGGTTTTGGGTTGCAGTTCTAGCACTCAGTCTCTAAATGGTTCGCCATCACTGCCCTATACCATTCTAGGCAAACAGCTGTCCAATCTCTTCTTTAAAACTTTTAGTTCTGGACTTCTGGAGGCAGGTTGTTCCACTGGTTAATTGTTCTAACTGTCAGGAAGTTTCTCCTTAGTTCCAGGTTGCTTCTCTCCTTGATGAGTTTCCATCCGTTGCTTCTTGTCCTGCCCTTCTGATGCTTTGGAAAATAGCTTGACTCCCTCTTCTTTGGGACAGCCCCTAGGATATTGGAAGACGGCTATCATGTCACCCCTGGTCCTTCAACCTGTTGTGTCATTCTGTGGGCACTTTTGCTTTGGAAAATAGGTTGACCCACTCTTCTCTGAGGCAGCCCCTCAAATATTGGAAGACTAGATAAAGGCATCGCTTACCTTCATGTCAGAGATGAAAAGCTTCCAGTGCTGACCCAGCCGAGAGAGGTTTTGGAGAAGATCAACTACAGGCACCAGGGCAAAGATCTCCTGAAGGTGGACATTTGGCAGCTCTTCCATGGTTCCTAGAGGTATGTCATCCTCAGATTTAGTTCTAAGAGCCCAGAGTGGACATTAGGAAGAGGAAATACCTTGATGTATTGAACTTCCTGTTTGACCATTCCATCATCTACGTTCTGCTCAGGAAGCCTCAAGAACAATAGATTGACGTCTTGGCCAGACCTTCTGTCGGAGTCTCTAGGTCTCTGGGACAAACGTGATCGTTTCATGTGGGACACTGATGTTTCCTCTCCATCACCAGGACGAATGGAAGAGTTGTCCGAGGTGGACGATGAGTCACGAACAAAGTTCTCCAGAGGTTTCTCAACTTTGCTTTCGCTGCTTTCTGCCACATTATCGGAGCATCTCGAGATGGTGCTTTGATGACCTGCCCACCCAACAGAGACAGAAAGGGAAGACAATTACAGCCGCTTCCAAGGACAGCTTCGGCCATGTCGAAGAGCAGGGCGCTGGTGGACAATGGCAGGCCTCTGTACAGATGGTCCTCGACTTACAACAGTTCATTTAGTGACCGTTCAAAGTTAGAACAGCCCTGGAAAAGGGGACTTATGACCTTTTTTCACACTTACAAGCCTCCCCAGGATCACATGATCAAAATTTGGATGCTTGGCAACCCGATTCATATTTCTGACGGTCGCAGTGTCCCGAGGACACGCGATCCCCTTTTGCGAACCTTCTGGCAAGCAAAGTCCATGGGGGAAGCCAGATTCACTTAGCAACCGTGTGGCTAACTTAACAACTGCAGTCGTTCACTCAACAACTGTGGCAAGAAAGATGGTGCAAAATGGTGCAAAATGTCTCGCTTAGCAACAGAAATTTCGGATTCAATGGTGGTCATAAGTTGAGGACTATCTGTACTGTTTTCCACATATCCCATTTAAGTCTTTAAGCCCTGGTATCCACACAGATGTAAAATTATAACAGCTGCAACCTTGAAACCTGTAGGAGAGAAGACATGTGTAGGGTCCTTGGTGTTCTCTGAACTTGGTGATTTTCTTGCAGACTAGGTAACACCATCAGTGCTAAAAGGGAGGGGGGGTTTAAGGAGGAGGAGGGGGAGGAGGACTGTGGGGTACTTGGTGCTCTCTTGGTGGTTTTCTCGCAGACGTTTCATGACCCAACTAGGGAACATCATCAGGGCTAGGAGGGGGAGGGTTTTGCTCTCTATATACAGGTGGCCATATAAACAGGGAGCCAAGCCTTATCAATAGGGGACAAGGGACAAATGCTGCACCAAACTTTTGCAACACAACACCCCCACAAACAGATGCAGCAAAGGCCCCCGAAACCAGGAAAGCATCTGCTCAGCCTTGCAACACAATGCAAAGGGTCACAACTCATCCTACCCTCGGAATCCTTCTTCCTCTCAGGAGGTGGGCAAAGGCCCCCGTTGGAATCTGGGCTGCCCGGCCTCTGGCTGAGGGGCTGCGTCAGGGCGGCTGTGCCTTCTGGGCTCTGCCGAGGAGCTTCGCCATCACTCGCTGCCGGGCCGAGTTGCTTGGAAGAACTCACTGACCCACAAGAAAACAACAGAAAAAAATGTCACTGGGTGAGAGAAGACCTACAAGTGAAAGACGAAAACCCCATTCCACTGTAAATCCAGACCCTGCCTTTTGCAAACCACAATTGATGGTTTAAGGTGTGGCCCCTGCCAATCGCATTTTAAGCAATCAATCAGGGTTCATCCAACTATCACACAGAGTTCAGAGCAGCATAGTAGCATAGTTTAGCATAGAGTAGCAAGACAGGAGACCAATAAATTTAACAAATGAGGGAGAGAGAGAAACTCTAGTCCCAAATACAACCCAGATGGGATCCTCCCTCCCTTCTTTTCCCCCTCCCTCCCTCTCTCTCTCTTCCTTCCCCTCCCTCTCTCCCTGCCTCTCCCCTCCTGCTCCCTCCCTCTTCTATCCCTCCCTCCCCCTCCCCCTCTCTCCCCACTCAAGGTGTGGCCAATCCAAACATGGAAGACATCCCCCCAAAATAAGCCTAAAGGATCTTTTGGACCAAATACATATATATAAGACCTGGTCTTATTTTCGAGGAAACATGGTAAATACATATAAATATTAATCACTGTCCATCTTGAATACATGCCGGAAAGATGAAGGTTGAGAGTTCATACTGTATGGAACAAAACTGCGACTGAATCCGAATGTTCTGCTTCGGATACCACAGAGGCCCCTCCTCCCAGAAGGGAACAAGGAAAACCGGCTGTGAAGAGGATGTGTAGCATCCCAGAAAAATCCTGCGGACCCCGCCCAAATATTGTTACATGCCCTGGAAGTAAGTAAACTAATAATCTTTTCTGCTTCCAAACCAAACAGGATGCTCTCAATCGTCCCTCTGTAAAACGTGGGAAGGACGGGGAAGGAAGTCCTACTTTTCTCGTGCTGCTATGTTTGCTTCACCACGGTCTCGCTGTTGAGAGACCAAGCCAGCCTTCTCCTTAGCTGCAGTTAAGAAATGAAACTGAAACCAAAGAAATTTATAAAGTAACTATCTGCCTTGCACACTGCTTATCAAGACAAACCTCCAGGGCCACACCCGTCAATCGGCATGACAAATACATCTACATACATACATATATATCCTACAGTCATATATATATTTATTATATAAAAATATACTTAGTCCGAAAATAAAACTTTTTTTATGCAGTGTTATCTAACTTATATAACTTTTTTGTCATTTTTTACTGTGAACACACTGCCACATATTAAAAGTGAAATTGTTGCCCACTCTTAAAACAATATATACCCACATCTATAGATGCACACACATATACATACATGCATACATACACACATATAAAACACTTTCAATTTTGAATACATGCAGAAAGAGGAAAGTTGAAAAAAACTACATAAATAACTAAACTAAGAATAAATAAATGCATAGGCATTTGGTGCCCAGGTTGACATTTCAGACTAAGGGACGCTTGTTGGTCTGTTTAACTCATATACCATTATCTCAGGCGACTCGGTTGGGGGGGGGGGGGTTAACAGTAATAAAATTGAGATTTTAATTTCCCATCACTGCCATTAAGGCAGACCCCCAAACCAGCCCTTCCTTTTAAGAGGCACAGTCATGCCTTAAGCCGGGCTTTCTCAACCTTGGCAACCTTTGGGGGGGGTGGACTCCCACTCCCAGAATCCCCCAGCCTGCATCCAGGGGATGATAGGACATGTAATAACCCCAATCCCTGGAGGGCGCCAGGTTGACGATGGTCGCCTTTGCAACTGACTTTTTTTTTTCTCCTCCCCCTCCCAAAGCAATTCAATTATTTTTTTTTCCCAAAAACTCCGGATGGGATAATAGGTCCTTTTCCAGCTCTCATACCAAGAATCCCGTTAGCAATTAATCACATTTTGAAGCTAAATTGGGACGTACTTTGATCTGCTCCGGCTAATTTGCAAACAGCCACCGCTCCCCTCTTGCACGCGCACCGCAACTCGCGCCCAGGGGCGCGCAATTTAAACCCTTTGAGGCTTCAACCAACGAAACCCCGCCTCCTGCCCCTCCCTCCCCCCGATTGATGTGTCTCTTCCGACCTATCGCGGAGCTCGCTCCGTATTTCTCCTCCTCCTTCAGGCGGGACCAATGAAACGTCGCCCGCAATTTGACGGGAGGGAGGGAGGAGGGAACAGAACAGAATAACAGAACTGGACGGGAGCTTGGAGGTCATCTAGTCCAACCCCCTGCTCAACCAGGAAACCCTATACCGGGGTAGGCAACCTTGGCTCTTTTATGACTGGTGGACTTCAACTCTCAGAATTCCTGAGCGAGCATGAGGGAAACTTTGCCCCCCCCCGTCATGACTCGTGGACTTCAACTCCCAGAATTCCTGAGCCAGCCGTGCTGAGGGGAAAGGGAGAGGTTTCCAAGCTGAGACATGCTGGCTGAGGAATTCTGGGAGTTGAAGTCCACGAGTCATGAGGGGGCCATAGTACCCTCATGCTGGCTCAGGAATTCTGGGAGTTGAAGTCCATGGGTTATAAAAAAGGCAAGGTTCCCTCAGGGTTACCTGCCTGAGCAGGGGGGGTGGACTAGATGACCTCCAAGGTCCCTTCCAACTCTATTATCGTTGTTGTTGTTTCCCTCCGTTGCTTCTTGTCCTGCCTTCGGATGCTTTGGGGAATAGCTTGACTCCCTCTTCTTTGGGGCAGCCCCTCAGATATTGGAAGACTGCTGTCCTTCTCTTCATTAAACTGGACATGCCCAATTCCAGCAACCGTTCTTCATGTTTCAGCCTCCGGTCCGCTGATCCTCCTTGTTGCTCTTCTCTGCACTCTTTCCAGAGTCTCCACATCTTTTTGACATCCTGGTGACCAAACCTGGATGCAGTTGTAAGGATCGGCAGTTGCCCGAAGAACTTGAGGTTCCAAGGGGGCAGATCAGGAGGCTCAAGCAGAGGCTTCCCGGTCAAAGAGAACTTTATTTGGCCGAGTGACCTTGCTGGGTGGGACACTGTCCGAAACGCTGGCAGCTGCCTTCAGAAGTGCCACCCAGTGGTCAGCTAGGCTCCTCTTTTTATATACAGGTGACAACCAATCACAAGGTGACACTTGTTGGCACATGCAGAACGTTAACCAATCATCTTTCATTACTTTCCCGCCCTTTCCCCTGTCTCTGGGTCAGTGTACGTGATCTGCCTGCCTTCACAAAATGGCGTCCCTAACGCAAGCACAGCGTACAGAAGCAAAATGGCGGCCATTAGGCTAATAACAAGTATAGCCTTTTGTACAATCCCTAGTATACGGTATTCCAGGTGTGGCCTTACCAAGGCCTTGTAAAGTGGTATTAACACTTCACGTGATCTTGATTCTATCCCTCTGTTAATGCAGCCTAGCATTGTGTTGGCTTTTTTGGCAGCTGCAGCACATGGCTGGCTCCTATTTAAGGGATTGTCCACTAGGACTCCAAGATCTTTCTCACAGTTACTACTATTGAGCAAGTTACCACCTATATAATTTCAGATAACTGGTTCTTAAAAACCTCCGGTGTTGGAGCAGCCACAACATCTGGAGGCAGGTAGTTCCACTGGTTAATTGTTCTCACTGTCAGGAAGTTTCTCCTTAATTCCAGGTTGCTTCTCTCCTTGGTGAGTTTCCATTCGTTGTTTCTCATCCTGCCTTCCGGTGCTTTGGAGAAGAGGTTGAGCCCCTTCTGGTTCAACGTCAGACCACGTTCTGAGTATCTCTTCAGATGAAAGTCATGAGACGAACGGAAGAAGCTCAGGTACCCTCCAGATCCTTCCCCCCAGTGGCCAACAGCCGGCACAATGATCTAGCAATTGAATCCACCGGTGCACGATGTGATTTCTCCATCTGCGGAAACGTTTTACTTTCCTTTTCCCTGAAATGAAATCATTTCATTGAAAAAAGGGGAAAAAAACCTTTCTGTTCTCTGCCTTCCCCAACCGGTTCCTGCAAATAGAAATAGATATTGTTCTCCTTTTCCTCAAAGGACACGTGATTTGTAGGAAACTGAGTAAAGATTGCCAGCCAGCTACATATCTATGTGCTTCCTCCCTTCAAGTGTTGAATAGAATTGAGCTGGAAGGGACCTTGGAGGTCTTCTAGTCCAGCCCCCTCCTCAACCAGGAGAACCTATATCATCTCAGACAAGTGTCTCTCTAGCCTCTCTTTAAAAAACTCCAGGGATGGAGCACCCATGATTTCTGGGGGCCAGCTGTTCCACTGGTTAATTATCCTCACTGTCAGGAAGTTTCTCCTTAATTCCAGGTTGCTTCTCTCCTTGGTTAGTTTCCATCCGTTGCTTCTTGTCCTGCCTTCAGGTGCTTTGGAGAATAGCTTGACTCCCTCCTCTTTGGGGCAGCCCCTCAGATACTGGAACGCTGCTATCATGTCTCCCCTATTTCTTCTTTTCTTTAGACTAGCCAAACCCAAGTCCTGCAGCCGTTCTTTGTCCGTTTTAGTCTCCAGGCCTTGGATCATCCTAGTTGCTCTTCCTTGATTGTTACTTTTCCTTGATTTCCGTCACTCGCTCACGTGGCTGACTGAAGGCTGTCTGCACGCAGCTGTACAGGTGGTCCTCGGCTTACGACTGCAATGGAGCCCAACATTTCCAAGGTGGAGCAAGACAATTGTTAAGTGACTTTTGCCCCCATTTTGCAATCTCTCTTACCACAGATGTTCGGTGGACCACTGCAGTCGCTAGTAACACGGTCGTTAAGTGGGTCTGGCTTAACGACTTGGTGTGTCAGAAGTTTGCAAAAGGGGATCCCGTGACCCCAGGAGACTGCGACGGTCATAAATAGGAGTCAGTCGTCAAGGGTCTGAATTTGGATCACGTAACCGTGAGGACACTGCGACGGTCATAAGTGTGGAAAACTCCCTTTTTTCAGTGACGTTGTAACTTCAAACTGTCACTAAAGAAATTGTTGTAAGTTGAGGACTGTTTGTAAATGTTTCCTGGTTGCCAACTGCCCCAAAACGTGGTCAGTTATGATGGGGGGGGGGAGGGCAATAGACATCAGGACTTTGAATGCAGGTCGTAAGTAGTTTATCAGGCACCGTTGTTAACTTCAAATGCTTGTTAAGCAAATGGTCGTAAATCAAGGACTATCTGAGTGGTTGGTTGGGAAGGAACTTCTCAGTTCTCCCCCAGGAAAGAGATGACAGTGGCTAGGTCTCTGATAGGTTGGCGGGGGTTTTGCAGGCAATGAAGTTCCACAGATATTTCTGCCTCAGTTTCACTTCTTCCGAATCAAAGGTGTCCAACCTTGGCGACTTTGAGACTTTTGGACTTCAGTTCCCAGAATTCCCTAGGTAGGTTTTATTGCTTTAATTAATGCATCACTGAATTTAGCTATTCACATGTCAGTTGGGCAAATTTTTACACCAATAAATGATCCTCTTCCTCCTCCTTCTCCTCAAACCTCACTTCCTTCTAGCACTGATGATGTTCCCTAGTTGGGTCATGAAACGTCTGCAAGAAAACTACCCAGCTCAGAGAGCACCAAGGACCCCACAGTCCTCCTCCTCCTCCTTCTCCTCCCCCTCCTCCTCCTCCTTAATTCCAGGTTGCTTCTCTCCTTGATTAGTTTCCATCCATTGCTTCTAGTCCTGCCTTCCGGTGCTTTGGAGAAGAGGTTGAGCCCCTCCTGGTTCAACGTCAGACCACGTTCTGAGTATCTCTTCAGATGAAACTCATCAGACGAATGGAAGAAGCTTCTTGGATAAGAAGCGAAACGCTTCCAAAGGAAGAAAAAAAAGACCCAGGAAAGTCCACTTGCCTTTTGGAAAAAGCACCTCGGAGACGACCATGATGGATTCAGAGTCTCCATAGACATCAGATGAAACATATGGGAGCTACCACGGCCGAAGCCTTCTCCCCGTTCTTCTAAACCAGGAATCTCCAAACCTATCAATCAGAACAGAGCTGGAAGGGACCTTGGAGGTCTTCTAGTCCAGCCCCCTGCTCAAGCAGGAGAGCCTATACCACGGGCGTCAAACTCTCCACGTCATGTGTCATGGTGTGACGTGTCGCGACTTCTTTTGCATTGCCGGAATGGGGATGGGCGCAGCCTCTGCCTGATGCAAGTGGCCCGCGGGCCTGCAGTTTGACACCCCTGCCCTAGACCATTTCAGACAAATGGCTCTCCAGTCTCTTCTTTAAAGCCCCCCCCAGTGATGAAGCCCCCACGACTTCTGGAGGCAAAGCCGTTCCACTGATTAATTGTCCTCACTGTTAGGAAGTTTCCCCTTAGTTCCAGGTTGCTTCTCTCCTTGGTGAGTTTCCATCCCTTGCTTTTTGTCCTGCCTTCTGGTGCTTTGGAGAATAAGTTGCCCCCCTCCTCTTTGGGGCAGCCCCTCAAATACTGGAAGGCTGCTATCATGTCCCCCCCTCGTCCTTCTTTTCTTTAGACTGGCCATGCCCAGTTCCTGCAACTGTCCTTCGGATGTTTTAGTCTCCAGGCCTTTAATCATCCTAGTTGCTCTTCTCTGCACTTTTTCCAAAGGGTCAACTGAGCCCCCCCCCTCGGCTGAACAAATTTGGACGTCCTCATCCACCCCCATCGGGAGTTGGAATTTCCCCCCTGGCTTCCAAAGCCTGTGTCCTCTCCCCCCCCCCATCTCCTCCCCCCCCCCCTATTTCCAGCCCAAGTACTCTCCAGATCCTTTCCCCCCAGTGGCAGTAGCCAGCACAATGATCTGGCAATTGAATCTACCGGTGCATGATGTGATTTCCCCATCTGGAGCAAAGTTTTACTTTCCTTTTCCCTGAAATGAAATCATTTCATTGAAAAAAAGGAAAAAAAAACCTTTCTGTTCTCTGTCTTCCCCAACTGGTTCTTGCAAATAGAAATAGATATTTTTTTTCCTTTTCCTCAAAGGAAAGAGAGAGAAAGAGAGAGGAAAGAGAAAGAGAGAGAGAGAAAGAGAAGAGAAAGAGAGAGAGAGAGAAAGAGAGAAAGGGGAATGAGAGAAAGAAGAAAGAGAGAGGAAAGATGAAAGAAAAAGAGAG